ATAATATTAGTAATATCGATTACTAATATTAAGCTATTCCTAATAAGGAAATACCTTATATAAACTTATTAGATATAGTAGAGGTTAAGTTTACAAACGTAACTTATGTCTATGCATATAAACACAATCCAGGGTACAATTGTCTCTCTTTATAAGATAGAACTTCCTTATCAAAGAGGTGTGATAAATCATAAAACTACATTGGTAATGAAAGTAGACGGTGTTACTCTCCGCTTGGGCGCTTCTCTGCTGAGTTTCGGGCTTCGAAGAGCATAACCCCCTCCAAAACGATTCTGCTCCAAAAGAGGTAGGTTTCCCAGGGTTTCGACCTTCAGACACTCATTTTGGGCACCCTCCGATGACTCTGTCAGCTAGCTCTTCAAGATGATTTCCGGAAACATGCCCAAAGAGAGCAGACTTTTAGTGAATATAACAGAATCATTGAGTTTGGTGTGTAGACATGGCCCTAATTTCAAGGCCTCATTCGTTCGGTTACTTTAAGCCGAAATACGGCGCTGGTAGTCTGTCGCCTGCAAGTCCAAGTCGAGCACTATAACCAGGATACGAATGCACTTGGATGGTCGATTGTAGAATTTGAATGAGTTGTAATCGGTGCATTCAACCAATCCGGCCCCATATACATGCCTTAGCCTTTTGCCAGGCTTACTTTGTTCGCACCGTCTTTAGCTTCTTAGGGCTATAGATAAACTGGGTAGCGTATGCTTTCGGTACAAATTTCCTCTCATTCGGCTCCTGTACAAAGTATTCATAACCCTGCTTGTTGGCGAAGTCAATTGCATCCTCTTTTGACTTGAATTGAATTCTATGGCCTTGCATGCAGTCTGCTGATGATTGCCAGCCCATCAAAGGGTTCTCCCATCTGTGGCCTTTGGGTAACGGATCCCAATCCATAAGCCAGTGATGGCTATGCCAGTCACCAGACTGAGTTGCGGGTTTAGTCGGGCGGTAGATTCTGAACTGCGTCAGCGATGGCGGAGGTAGCGTAGATCACTCGTGCTCACCGCACAGTGCGTGCTTGGAGATCTATTGGTGCACCTGACAGTACCGCTGCTGGAATGCTTCCTGTAGGCTCGCTGCCGTCCATAACACGTTTGGGGAGAGGTGAGAATTGTCTATAGGGAACGCTATCAGCATTGTCTACGCAAAGGTAGATGTGGCTTAACATACGATGTACGATAATCGGGAGCCACATCATAATTTAACGGGTGAGTGGGAAGTTGATCGACAGCTCTTTCGGGGTTCTCGATCCCGGCCACGCTCATTGCATCCTCCTGGGTCGTCTTGTACTTGCCAGGCGCATCGGGATTGTTCGGCTTGCTGTAGAAGCGAGCGTTGGTTGATCGCACCGCAGGCTTAGTCGCTGCAGCAATGAGCCGCGAGCAAAGTGTTCGTTGCATCGTTATGATAATGTGTGCCCAAGCGGACATATCTTCAGGACTGGTGAGGTTGAAGTTGAGCAATTGACTCGCCTTGGCACTCTAAGCCTTTTCGGGCTACTCGGGCAGCGAGTTCTCACGGAGTACCTATCGCTTCCATCAGGATTGGAATCTCCAGATCCTCTACTATCCACCACTCCCATCTCGTTGCCACCCATATTCAGGTACATAATCCCTAGAGGTAGCTTTGAAAGCTGTTATGCATATCCTTGGAGGCTAATTGATCCGCTAGTCGTCGATATGAGCTTCATTCAGAGGCGCGCGTTGTCTACTCTTATTCCACCAAAGGTTCGTGTATCGCTTCGGACCTTCTTCATATATAAATATGGACTTACTAATGTGCTATCTCGTAGGTGTCCTCACCCACTGTAAGTCTCTACCAACACTATTCGATACTCATGCGACCGTCTCCGATGCCCCTGCGACCCACCCTGCGCTCCAACCTACGAACCGACTAACGCCCCCGACACTGCGATACATCCAACACAAGGGTATTAATGAAAATGGTACGGGTCTCGACTAATATAATTTACAGGCAATCGGCTCAGCCCCAGATGCTGTGCGTATGCAGAAGGTGGTGAGCTTTTATGAGAAGCTCCCCCGAGGACCTGCTCCGGAAGTGAAGGCCAAGGGACTGCTAGGCAGATATCAAGCCCGCTATTTCGGAAAGAACCCTTCAGCAGCCCGTAAGACTGTCCCAAAGAGATGAAAAGAACACCAAGAAGCTCCGCGGCACGATACGAAATGATAGACTAACAGCTGACCTGGATAGCACTCGCTCATCTGATCGGAGCTCTGATTGTCCTCGGTTATGCGCAGAACTACTACTTCCACCTGCGTAAGTCACCTTTCCTTACCCTGCAGTATCTAGAAATAATTGACGAGGCACAGGTCACCACAAGAACAACGCTCATTAGGCCTTTCATAGCAGATGGTTTAGTACGATAAGTGAAGCAGTGTTGTAGAAAATGGAAGTGTAAATAAGATATAGATCATATCTGCGAGCCTAAAACATTCATGGGCGAAGGTCCTGTATGTATACTGTTGTGATGTGTTGCGCCTGCGCTCGATGATGAAGTTCGTGCCAATAAAAACGCAGAGCCTGTGAGAGCAACTCTGAGCTTGTGTAAATATTCATCTGCGTTAGCCAAGACTACGGATTAATATTCATATTTCTTGAATATCTGTTCCCACTTCGATTTGCTTAACATTATTCTGTTGCCTATGCGGTTTATAGTAGAAAAAACCTTCGAAACATACGTTGCCGCATTACAGTACGGCAACGGCAAGCGGATTTCTTGGCACTAGCGCCCCGACCTCCAGCGTCACGTCGCCAGCCGAACCATCTCCTGTTCACAACGACAAACCTTCGACAGACCGTGAAGCGTCTCTCTCTCCTCATAACTTAGCTACGGCTTCAGACAAGGCTCTTCCCCCGTCATAGGAAACCTTGAGCGACACGCGACACGAAATATACCGAGCATACCGATCCGACCTCTCGACCCAACCGCAACATAGCCACCTTGTATTACGAGCTAGAAAGCAACATCATCTGACGACCGGAAGCGCCTGCTAGTCTTCGTGGCCGCTCCAAATATTTGACAGCAGGTATATTTCTACAATTTTCTTGAAACTAGCGATGATCAATACGAGTCAACATGGTCAATCTGCGTCCTCTGTCATTTCCCTCATTCAGGAACAAAGCGACCCTATCTTGTTATCTTTTCTTACCGAAACAGACCAGAATCTTGTTATGGCAGAGCAGAGTGCCCGAGATGTGGTAAAGGAAGCACAGTCGATGGGCAGCTCTATGCCCATCGACGACATTGCGAAACCAACCAACACCACCACCGCCGATGACAACGGCCCGAAATCACCGAACTCTGCAATCTGCGTGACGAAGGAAGCTGCAGAAATAGATAGGCAAGCTGTAAGTTGTCTGTTGGAACACGAAAGTCGACCTGTTAATGATGGGACGACCCTGCAGACAACGTTCAGCGATAATGACGATCAAAAACCAGCGGCAAATCAGTCTGACATTGTCATTCCAAACGGTACTGGGTCAGAACAACTCACAACGGAAGAAGCTCAGCAACAAAACGCAGCGGCAGAGGCGAGTGGAGGATCTGACACTGATACCAGAGGCCATGTACGCACAGGCTCAGTAAAGAAACCTACCTTTTTTAAGACCTCATCGGTTACCAAGAACTTTCTTGCAAAGACGGCCAGCTCTACCCCACCAGTTCCGGGAAGTAAAGGTAAGATTCATAAAGAAGATACATCAAGTGACTCTAACGAATCACAGCAGCCTCAGTACCGAGCCAAGGAGTTTCACCAACCCAAGCGATTGCTAAACCAAGACTTGTCGCAAAATCGGGCAGTGGAATTGGGAACATTCCGCGATCAGGGCTGGCTAAGCCGAACGGAGCAAGTGGAGGACCTGATGCAAGCAAAGTCTGGAACAAAAATCAGCGTATGCACAGCATATCTTGCCAAGATCACATATTCTGACAAATGATAGCAATACCTCCTCCACCACCTAAGCAATTTACGGACGAGGAACTAAAACAGCAATATGGAATCCATATGGCGACACGTCTCCAGGCCGATGACCCGTCGAAAGATCAGTCAAAGTGGGCAGATATTGATGATGACGAAGATGACTGGGTTCCCGAGACCGTGGAGTGGATGGATGGTACTAAATCCGCAGTAGCAGCAACAGACAACGCTGCTCCACCCCTTGAACAGTTGAGGCCTCCAGTAAAAAAGCAGGAGCCACCAGTCGAGACTGCTGAACCCGTTCAGCCCATCCAGCCAGCTCTGCCAGTCCAGCCAGCTCAACCAGCTCAACCAGCTCAAGAACCTTCGGTGGCTTCTGCAGCTCCCCCGGTGCAAAGACCAACATCTACTGGTGGTGCCAAAACCATACTAAAACCGGGAATAGCAGTCCAAAACACACAGTTCAGGCCTGGCGTGGTATTGAAAGGGGTACCAGAAAAGACCGGTCTAGTAGCAAAACCCGCCGCTCCTACGCCTCCTAAATCACCGTGGGCATCTCTTCCACCGGTCGAGAGAGTTCCTCCTGTGCAGATCAATCCGCCAGTTCAACAGCCTTCACAGTCACGATTCGCACAACGAGATTCTCACGGATTCGACGCACTGCCACCGATGCCACCGCCTGCAGCAAAGGAAATCGCAGCGGATGACTTCAGCCGGAACTGGAGAGAGGAAAGAGGGACAAAAGAGCTATTCAACTCCCAGTCGGGTCGGTATGAGCCGGTGAACGATGCCCGGCGTGGCTCTTTCCGTGATTCCTCTCATCGCCAGCCCTCTGTCCTTCAACGACCCAATCATGGTCCAGGTGCAGGTCATGCTGAGCCCTCCGCAGCCTTTCAAACATCACGTTCAGGACCAGATGCTGGACCTTGGACTCGACGTCGTACTTCCTCCAACGTTAGTGGCGGTAGTGGTAGTCGTCGCATGTCTTTCGGTCGACCGCAAGATGGCCACCCATTCGCTGTCGAGTTACCTCCGCCTCGGGAAGTTCCGCCTGCAGCCGGCATAGACAACACAGGCTCCATTGAGTCACACCGTGCGAGCATTCACCTACAGCAGAAGCAGTCGAATGAGTCTGGGGCCGCTACCCAGCAAACTTGGGCTCAGCGACCTTCACCTGCTGCAAGCCATGCCCAGCCCATGTCGCCCTTCGGCTCAGTTGACTCGTCAGTTCCGGCAGAGAGCCTAAGTGCCTCTACACCAGGACCAGATCCTGTGATAGTTCAGCAGCAGGTGATGAAGGATAATATCGAGCGAGCGAGAGAGGCGAAGCGTCGTAGAGACGAAGAAGAGGCGAAAGCAGAAGCAGCGAAGAAGGAACGCATTCAAAAGCTCATGGCTCGACTTGAGGAGAAGAAATCAAGCGATAGTGCTGCAGTCAATGCCTTACCGTCACCGCCCAAGCCGCCCGTACCTACGACGGACGGTGAGGTAACACAATATGGTATGATCAAGGTTCACTCGTCGCATACGGTCAAGAGAGCAAGTCCGCCTATTCACACAACCGCGCCCGGGCCAGGTTCTGCTATTGTCACAGATGGCAGGGACGCTGCTGTGCACAGACCCTCGGTTCGCGGAAACAACAACAGTGTGCCTGCACCGTCACCTGGAGTCACGTCAACAACCAACTCTGCCTCTGTCTCTGCTTCTGCCTCTGTATCTTCCCCGCACCGTGAGCAAGTGAACAACTCACCCTCGGCGAACAACGTCATCTCAGAGGCTGGGCCCAATCATACGCAAAAACCCGACTCCCAACCACCTCGCTCGACGCACATTTCTCCGTCTGCTCCTCAAGACCAATCTTGGAAACCCCCTCAGCCTGCACCTGACGCCTTTCAACCTTGGGGCTCAAATTTGCAGTCTCAGTCTCTCTCTTCATCAAGCGTGTGGGGTCCTCCTCCATCGAAAGACAAACCTCTCGGCAACGGTACCTTCGATACAAGCTACGGTCGAGCTTCTTCACATCAGAACAACGCTCAAGGCTCGCAAGTCGGTCCTGGACCAATTGCACCACCAACAAAGATTTCGCCTGGACCGTCACAAACTGTACCTCAACACGCACACAGCCAAGATCAACAGCGCGGGTTCGCTGTTCCTGACATTCGTCTTCCTCCAGTAGCACCAATTGGAGCTGCTTCACCGAACCAAGGATACTCACAGACAAGTCAGCCAGGCCCAATCGCACCTCCTACTCGCAACATGCCGGGAATGCAACAGCCACTATATACGGTCGGAGACTGGACATCACTTGCGGGTAATCCTGCAGCGCATGACACTGGTCTGATTGCAAAGCGCAATGCGGTGGTGCACCAAGCCACCGGCGGGCCTCGAAGAATTGAAGAGACATTCAGACGCACAGCGCCAGGTTCGACTGTGGGTGAGCGAAGAGTGGTGCAGACTGAGCAGTATTTGCACGACAACAACAACAAGACTGTCGTTGAGCGGGATCAAGCTCAGGATCGTACTGAGAGCCTTGTCCAGCAGTCTTCTGGCCCACCTCAAGTCAATATGCCCCTCGTAGGCGGTCATAATTCGGTTCACATGGGTCCAACCGTTCAGAACCAAATGAACAAACCTTCCCGCTTCTTCCCACAAGGTCCCAGGAACCTGCAGCAGTCGTCGGCTGTGCCTAATGGTCTCATCCCCGGGGTTGACACTGACTCACCTCCACCGCCGGACACAGTGAGCACCGGACATCCTGTATTCGACAGCGATCCGTCCCATCCTAAGGTCAATCTTCCTACTCCAAAAGCCATAGTCAAGTTGCCTCCAGCCGTGAGCTCACCACAGCCGTCAGTCGTGATGCCGGTCAGGCCCCAGGGTCCTGCGCGGCTTGGATCGCAACCGATCGCATCTTCCGAAGCATGGCAAGATAGGTTCAACGGTCTCTTCGGACGCGTTGGCAGGAACCCGCCACAGTTGAAGCCAGCCTCACCAGATCCACCAGCAGCTGTTGTCAGTAGCTCCTCCAAAACAACTTTTGATGTCACACCCCAGCAATTGTCTGCAACGGTGTCACTGCCATCCAAGGACACTTCCGAGAAGGCTAGCCCGCACGCAATCTTCGCGCTTGACAGCAGTACCAGTCCGACTACTCGAGTTTCTGCCTCTGAAGCGCTCATGGAAGAACGCGAGTTCGGGTCTCTACCTCCCGTGCACTTTGGTAAGCCAGAGTATGAGAACTCGGCCAAGTCGGACTTTCCGTTAAACTGGAATCCTCAGAACTCCCGTACAGGACGAGTTGAACCAACATCTATGCCTATGTTGCCCTTCTATGATGAACGTATCCGGGGAGAAGTTGTGCTTCACGTTGCTATACCAAACAGCAAGCGTGGTGCCACCACTAAGGTAATGCCTCGTAATTACAATTGCGACAATGGCAAGCCGAGAAAAGGTTCGGGTTATCAAGGCACGAAGCCGAAGCGAAACTCAGCGCGCGGAGACAATGCGAACTCTACCAACTCAAATCCAACCGCACGCAAACCTTCCAACCATCATCACCCTCATCAAGGAGGGCCTATAGGAGCAACGCGCCCTGTGACGAGATGGAACAGCGATGGCAACAACAGCAGTCGCAGCGCATCATCTTCCTGGACTAAGCGTCCGGCACCAGCCGCTGTTCATTAACCAAAGAAACCTCGAAGGCTTCATTCTGAAATCGCAGCTCAGACAAATGTTCGAACGGAGATCTGTTTCTATGATGGGCCTGAGACGATGAATAATTGATACTGTATTCTTTCCTTGCGACTCACATCAAGTACACGCAGAGAAGCAGCGCTTTCTGTGAGCTCATGTCTTCACTACAATTTTCTCGCCATCCGGTCAGCACTCACACTCAACACACTACCATACAACAGATGGGGATGGAAGCGATGTTGGAGGGTCTGTAGTGAGCCTCTTGTTATTCAGCGAGCCAAATGGGCACGCACTAATTGGGATTACGTCCGGCAATGCATCAACGGCGAAAAAGGCCTTTCTTAAGCTCCCAGGAATCTTATAGTCTCGGCCGTGTGTACATGATTGCACTGGTGAGGCATACCACCAGTACTGTGTTTCTATAGCAAATGACGATACTTTATCGCTCGCGATTATAATAGTGCACCGTACAATATGATGCGTCAGTGAATGTGATGGTTCATCCCAGGATGGGTCGTGAGTGATGAGGGTAAGAGCTGCCCGAGTCTCTTGTAAACGCAACCTGCATGCTTGACCACTTCTATGTCTTCGCTTCACTGTGAGGTCACATACTACTTTCACATTTCTTGCCTGCACACACCAGGCACTCTAGTAACACCATTGCGCACCAAAATTAACAAGCGAAACCCAGCTACACAAGTCGTGGTCCAAAGTCAACGAAGCAATTATCGTGGTTACAACGAATGACAGGACAGACAAAGATGATATTCCGTGATGGCAACACTTGAAACATCCGAATGTAAGGAGTTGATCCAATAAGACGTTGGATGCATATATGGCGCATTAAGGTGGCTTCCAGAGTTAACCACACAAGCACCTGACGCTGAACGGACATAGCTTCTGCACACGATATCTTACATATAGGCTGAATAACGAGAGTATATGGTAAGTCCAGTACAGGGCTAATTACGATTATGGGCAAATCCCTGAGTGTCTGCGGCGGACGCAAATTCGGAGAGCTTTGTGCCACGGCCGACAAGCCACATGGTTAAGACGAGGCGTACAGCATGTATCCTGGCGGCCTCTTGTCAGCAAGGGTGTGCACGAGACGGGCGAGCAATGCATGTCGGCGATCCATTCATAGATGGTACGGTATCTTGGGCGCTGAGTGACGCTGCTGGTGCATCGATGGGTAAGGAGTTTGGGGGGCCTTCTGCGGGAACTTGAGAAAGAGTCTTGATGCAGGAATTGTTGATTCAGGATGTAGACTTGCCGCGCACTTTCCCGACTCTACCCGACAGTAAAGAGAACCGAGAGTTGACAGATGGAGGCAAGATGAAATCGCCTGAATGGTGTTTGTAGGAGATGAATAACAGCGATGATAGAAGAAGCCCTGGCGCTAGGAGGGAAGAAACTGTAGATTTGGCGATGCTAATGAATCGTACAGTGAGTAAGTCTGGGGTTTAACTTCCGGTGGCGGTTTCGTTTCATCCAGAGTGTCAATAATGCATATCTTTTTTATGGTCAATCCGCATCTCACTTCCCCAGTTCCCCGTTACACATCCCGATCGTCACCATCCTCCGCAGCCAAGACCAGTGGCGCCCGCGTTTGGTTTCGGGTTCTTTGGTGGTGGTGTTGTGATTGGCTGCTCTTTGGGCGTGCAAGGTCAGGGCGCTTCGCCTTTCTCGGATGCTTCCTCCTCGAATTTAACGCTTGACGCTTGTGCCTTTATACGCATCGCCATCTGCGGCGACCACTAACTCTTCTTTTTCTTGTTACCTTTTCTATATCCTCTTCTGCTTCTACCGCTGGCCGACTTAAGAAGTCCTGCTTCACCGGCTCTTCCAACTACTGACCTTCATTCTTGCGCATCTTTGTTCACCCACCGACGGCCGGTGCTTCACTCCCTTGTTCATCATTCAATCGGTCATACTTCATTCTCTACCTCCATTCTTCACGTGAACAGTGCTCTTCATATTGAACAATAGCACCCGGCTTGTTGATCAAGTCTTTGGTCTTTACGTTACATACGTCTGCGGCTCGCAACACCATCTTACCAACATGTTTTTCTCAAAGTCTCAGGCTCTCCTGGCTACTCTGGCCGCAGTCAAGACTGCTCTGGCTCATACCACCTTTACTGAATTTTACATTGATGGCGTTAGCAATGTATGTACTTGATATTAAGACACTTCGAAAGCAGCCTGCTTATTTGACGTTTAGGGCGCTGGTACCTGCGTGCGTATGAATCACGATGGCGCTAAAGCCTCCTTTCCCCTAGAAGACTTCAACAGCAATGATATGGCGTGTGGTATGTCTCCTACGAGGTTCCCGTCGCATTACATACTCTGACCGTACCTAGGCCGTGATGGAACTAAAGGTGTCGACCGTGTCTGCACCGCCAAAGCCGGCTCCACCATCACCTTCGAATGGCACGCCTGGGCCAATGACAAGTCGCAAATCGTCCTCGACCCTGGCCATGCCGGTCCTTGTGCAGTCTACATGAAGAAGGTCGACTCCGCCCAGAAAGATACTGGTAGGCTAAATCGTTGCACACTTCCTGACTTTGCGCTAAATTTCCTGTAGCATACGGTGACGGCTGGTTCAAAGTCTGGGACATGGGCTATGTTGACAATAAATGGTGTACTAACAAAATGATCGACGACAACGGCATGATATCCATCAAAATCCCCAACCTTGCGTCCGGCTATTACTTGATCCGTCCCGAGCTCCTTGCAATGCATGCTGTCAACAGTGGCGATCCGCAGTTCTACGCCGGTTGCGCACAAGTCTTCCTCGAGTCTGATGGCGACCTGGGCCCCGAGTCCACCGTCAGTATTCCTGGCTATGTCAAGAAGACAGATGAGAGCGTGACGTGGAATATCTATGACAAGAAGCACGACAACGCTGACTACCCTACCCCTGGCCCACCTGTTGCGCACCTCGTACCTGGCGTCCAGGGCGCAAGCATCAAGGCAAATAAAGCAGAAGGCCAGCTCCCAGAAGGCTGCATAATCCAGAATGCAAACTGGTGTGCATTCGAAGTGCCCGAATACGATACAGAGACCGAATGTTGGGCCTCGCAGCAGAACTGCTGGGAGCAGCAGAACGAGTGCTGGGACAAAGTCCCGCCCACGGGCGGTGCTGGCTGCGATGTACTCCACGCACGCTGCGACTATCTCAACGCCCAGTGCGCAGCCAAAAATTGGGTCGGCCCTCCAGACGCGGGCAAAGTGCTGTATCATCCCCAAAGCACGCTTAGCAACGTTCCGCAGGCGTTGCCCACGCATGGCGGTGGTGTTGTAGCGCAGAACAGCATTGCGCCGAGCGCGGCTGTACAAACGCATAGCCCATCGCCGTCGTCGAGTGCTGTCGATAATGATCATGAACAACATGAAGTTGCCCCGGCTCCTTCTCCTGCCGCTGCGCAAACATCGGCTCAGGATTCACCGGCTCACGATGCTCCTGCACCGACTCATGCGCCGTCTGCCCCTGAGAACGACAATGAGAATCACGATGATAGTTACGACAATGATAAGAACGTTGTTGTCGTCACGGACGTCGTCTATGCGACGCAGGTTGTGTGGCAGACAATGTGGGTCAAGCACTAATAAGGGGTTTAATGACAACGCATACTCGATCCCGGTGTGCCGTTTCCAGAGTATGGTCTCTGGGCTTCATGTGAAGGTCTGTGTACGATCAAAGAGAGCCTAGCGCTCGTTCGTTTCTTTGCGTTGTGCTGATGCACCAATGTTTTTGGCTTCGCTTCTTACTCTTCTTCTTGGCGTGTCTTTGAAATGACTTGAGTTGTAGTAAGACTAGGCATGATGTGCGTACCGGAAAAACAATCATGGCATACGATGGATGAGAAAATATATATACATGAATAAAGGATATGATTTATGACGCCAATAGAAAACGCCGTCTCCATGGTGTGTTGTTTGCTCTATGCTTTCACTGTGACCAGCTTTACTCTGTTCTTCATGTCCCTTTGTCAAGCAAGACTTATAGCCTGTAACGTCCCGATACCGAAAGTACTCTTCAATGCTATTTCATCCCATCATTGTTTGCTCTCTTACTTTAATCTTCGGCGCATCAGTTCCTCACAGTCATGTCCCAAACCCGAATCGTTTCCCCCTCCCATTCCCTTCTCCTCGGCTTATCCCCTTTCTCCCTACTTCCCATCCCCACCATGCACCTCCCAGTGCTGGCAAACAGCCTCACCAACTCCCTCATCCTTCCTACCTCCGCAAATAGGTCCACAACCTCCTCACACTCATCGTCCGCCAACAATGCCGCTAGCTCCATGCTCATTGTCAAATACTGCCTTGTTAAAAGATGGCTGGCACTCTGGATCGTGCTAGCGTAAGCCAGGACAAGCTCGGGCACGTACACGGGTAGAATAAAGGGAAGGAGAGCTCTCAGGTTTGTTATGCGGCGTACGTCTACGGAAAAATGGGCCCCTAGCTCGGTCGTTGCGATGGATGAGGCAATGGAGACTGTAGCAGGACCGGCTGCGCTTGTGGGCGTTGCCGCGGTGGCTATTCCGTAAAGGGTATTTGTGGATTTCTTGAGAAAGGGATGGAGGATCTCGGAGATCGTGTCGAATACTTCTTTAAGGCTGGATTTATCGGTCGACGAGTTTTGTGCACCATTACTAGATTGCGAGGTTAGTATATATAGGTAAGATGGGAGAGACCAGGTGCGCACGTAATAAATTCTTCTTCGATAGTAGCCCATTCGTGAAGAGCCCCGATAGCGAGGACGAGCTGCTGGAGGTCATAGGCTGCTTTTGAGTCCTGTTTTAGTATCTTCTTCGTTATAGTGATTTCAAGGGGCTCCGACTGGTCCAGAGCAACTCTGGGAGATCTTCGGCGTGAAAGAGATGGCCGTCGGAGAGAGTGCTCGTGCTCGCTTTCGGAAAGCGGCTCCGCAGTGCCATTCTCTTCCCAAAGCGTTATGTCGATGACTTCACCCTTAAGGAAATGTGGCGTCTTCTCAAGAGAGATCTCAGCGCAGGGCAGTTGTGTGCTCAGGGCAAATGCGGCAGAGACTCGGCCGTATGCTGTGATTCAAGTTAATGTCTAGCTTGTCTAACCATGATTTTGCGTGCACCATACCTAAGAATCGTGCCAAAGCGTCCTCCAATGAGCTGAATATCAGCTTCCAAGTTTTCAGATGCAAAAACCAGTGCACAGCATCTATGACAGCACGTTCAGGAGGCTGAATATCCTCCTTGATGAAGCCCACACAGATCTTTTGACCGGGCCATTTATAATCAGTCGTTTTTTGAAGAATCTTGAATTCCGGGGTGGTAGGAGGGTTCACAATGTCAACATTACCAGCCACAGGCTCATCTTTGAGGCTGACTTTACTTCGTAATCCACATGACGCCAAGGCCATCTGATACTGTTTCTCCAGGATGAATTCAACATTGACACGATAGCGTGTCATTAGCCGGACCATTCGTTTCTGATCTTCTTCACTCTTTATGTCCGGGAGAATGAGAGCCATAGTCCGACCAAGCCTGTTTGGCGACAGCTGCGCAGCGTATAACGGGAGCAGATCTAGCTTTCGGGCACTCCGAAGAAGCTCCATATACCATACAATCAAATTCTCCATGGTCTTGATTTGAGCTGCGGGCCTCTTCGGGGCTTTAGAGGCATAGTACTCATCGAAGGCCAAATAAGCATGTAATAGAACGCGTAGAGCTTGCTCGTCTTCCGCAAACGACTCGTAGCCTTTTACTGGAACTTCAGGAGTAAAGTATAGCTCCTTTCCCCTCGGATCGAGACAAGCAATCTCAGCTATAGCCGCACCGACGTCGCACATCAGTTGATCGAGACTATCGGTGAGGAGGCTGGCTTGGATCCTTTGAAGATTTGAAGGCTTCAAACTCGGTTCAGAGTTGATAATCTGTATCACGGTGTCATTGATCGGTATGGCGTTTCCATAGAAGGCTCTCGAATTGAAACTTGGAAATTTTCGAGCAGCTGTAAGGCCAGGTGTCTGTGGGTATGCGACTTTGATGAAATGATCAAATCGGAACGACAGAATGCAATTGAAGTGTGCATAGAGATGGTCTTCCCACGTAGAACAAACGGGCCGTACTGAAGTGAGGTCGCCGCCAAGTAGTCCATAAACTGCACGCTCGTATATATTGTTCGATGCGTTTGCTGCCGCATGGCACATACGGCGCCAAAGAATTCCATGTGCCACAACGGAAGAACTCGGTTGGTCGTCCTCCTGGGTGATGCCCAAGCTTACGCTGCGCCAGCCCTCGTTTCGTTCATTCATCCAGGATCTGATCTCGTCCAAACTCTTTCCACGTCTCAACAGCTGGTAGCTTACAAACCACAGAAAGCGCTCTTGATATTCGTCAGAATCTTCCAGTATTCGGCTCTGTCTGGAAGGTGCGTCTGGGTCAAGCTGAGTAACCAGAAGTCCAGATTTGCTGGAGTTGAGTAGATCTGGCTGAGGACCCTCAGTATTGGTATGGCTCAAGGTTCCCATACGTTTTTCGCCCTTAATCCTCTCCTTTGTAGCCATCCAGCCATGTGTCCAACTGCCGTGTCCATGGTGCCCTCCATCGCCAAGCTTTTCGAATTGTTCGCCCAATTTTTCGATTCTTTCGCCATTTTTATCGGCGGTTTCTTGGAGCCATTTTAACACGAGACTCTTTTCCTTGGCATCTTCGTCATGCAGCATGAACTGGTCCCAAACGTCTTGGCGAGAGCTATACCTGTGTAACTCTTTTGGCTGTTGGGGAGCCTCTTTACCCGCAGTGGCGTCAGATAGTCTATGGGAAAGTATGAGAAGTGCAAGGTCCCATGTATCTACCTCTCCCTCCCATTTTTGTACGTTGTTCAAGTGATCACCTTGGCCTCCACCCGCAGTATCTTCTAGCACTGAAACGTCTTCGAAAAGACCTTCTCGCAGAGAGATCAACCTTTGGGTTGTGGAAACTCGAGCGCCGGTGTCTTCTTTGATAGATCGCTGTTTCAATGGCTTCGATATAGCTTTTGCTTCGTCTCTGAACCGTGTCACCATCGTGCCGGGTGATTTCCCCTCCGAGCCTGGTGTGCGTTCCGTCCCATACCCGAGCCAAAGGTCAAGTCGCTCAGCGAATTTCTCGACCTCTTTGCCAACGCGGTCTGCCATGTTGCGCAGAGGCGTAATTGCGTCGTCGTGATCGGCCTCGATTGAAGGATGGAGAGCGCGGGCTGAGCCTGAGATACAGTGAATTTCTGCAAGATTAATGTTTCATTTACAACCCTTACCTATATTTTTTGCATTATGGACTTGAGACTAAGTGTGGAGTCAGTGCAACTAATTACAGGTACCCAATCGCGAATCGCGAAATGACGAGAGAAATCAGACACGTACTTCGAGAAGATCCCAACTACTTGCACGTTTGTGTCGCGACTGGAGTAGTTTCATCAGTAATGGTTCCATCAAACGACAGACAACAGCTCTAGACGTCTAGGTTGCTTGCATGCATTGAGATAGCGGTTGAACTGACCTTGTTACCGACCAAGCCGTCGCCAGAAGCTTGGTGACGTGTGACTGGCGCCATTCTGAGAGGTATTAATGTAAAGGAGCAGATCGTATCTGTAGCTCAGACGTGAGCCAGAGAAGCGCGACAAGATGGAACTCAAACAAAGCTTCAGCAATGAGCCATCAACCCTTGGCACTACACGGAGCGACCCAAATGGAGTCTAGTGCGTAATTCTCGCTTGCCGCAAAAGCCTTTAAAAACTATTCTGACCCGCGTCCTCGCTTTCTTTTCTTCTTCAACAATGTCTTATAGGTTTTCATTAGAGTCTCGGTATAGACATTACTCCATGTTTATGCAGGTCCTTCGCGGCCTCTTTGCGCGCTCACGATTGCCTGAGAGTAACAGCATCGCCCTCGTTGAATTCCACTCATTTCTCCCTTGAGCTTGGTACGCGGCGGGAATGCAACATTCATTCATTTATCTACAAGCTGTTTCAAGTCCGAAAGATCACACACCTTGGCTTCGCTGCTTCATCTTCAATCTGCCACCAACATCAGTCGGCGGGTTGCTTGACCAACCAGGCAGAAGCTGGCGTAAAGAGAAGTACATACCTCAAAAGCGATGCCTTTGGGCACGATACCGTGCTTGCCTCGTCGCCATGGTCTTTGTAAAACTGGTTGCAACACGCGTAGAGTGCGTCAATCTGTAGCGAGAGATTCTGTCAAAGACGCAGGTCCATTTGTAAGATACTTCAATGGCCACTTACTTCTTTTTGACATTTACCCTCCTTGAATCCAGATTTTTGCAAACAATCTGGATTAGAAATGCGTCAGACTCGTTCGGTTTGGTTCTTTAGCCTGTATGAGTTACTCTGAATAGCACACGCTCTTGGATGACACGGCGAATCCGTCTTCAGGTCATCTGCGAGGGCCTGGTGCATTTAGCCAGGAAGACGAATGTAACTGCGTAATGACTGTGTACCATGATGTCAGTGCCTATGAAACCACGTCGGTGAGAAAGGCAGACTGCCTAGAAACTCCTGGGTGCACCGGCGTAATTGCTACAGCTCTTTTAAAGCGAGTAGCTCATTTGATGTCCTGCGGATATAGTAGAGTGCATTCGTGTTACACACTTCACTTGTTCACTTCTTGTCAAGTCGCGGCTTACTAATCCCACCCACCTAATACCTAAAACCCCACTCGTCTACTCCACTTCCACCTTCTACAGATTTCCGACAACTTGACACCACGATCAACCGCCGTTACCCTCCTCAGTCCTTGATATAGGGCCATAAAAGTTGCTACGATTTCTTCTTGCGCGGCGTCACGCTCAAGGTGAGCCTTGACCTTGAGCCCAGGGCGCATTGTTCATATAAGCTTGCTTTAGTTGCCTTCGTGCTTGCACTGCTTGTCAAATCTTTACTCGAACACTTTGCTCACTATCCTTTAGACCTAACTCGCCTACAGTACTCTTCTGAATCGATTTCCGCAAACCTAAACTCCCACGAGTACGTGCAAAGAGCACTATGTCTGATAACGGATCGCCCCCGAAGCCAGAAGGCCCTGCTCAGACCGAGCATCTCAATATCAAAGTTACGGATAACAACAATGAGGTCTTCTTCAAGATTAAGCGCACTACCCAACTCAAAAAACTTATGGAAGCGTTCTGCGATCGTCAAGGCAAATCGCCACAGAGTGTGCGTTTCCTTTACGACGGTCAGCGTGTGCAGGGTACCGACGATCCAGAGACTGTAAGTCATCAAGTCCACTCGATACATGAAGTTGGTCTAATCTTGGTATGTAGCTTGATATGCAAGACGGCGATACTCTTGAGGTGCATCAGGAGCAAATCGGAGGTTGAACTGGGTCCACTTGAGACTGGGAGGCCATCGGTGTCTTAGTGAACTTCATGCGAACATGATTATACGACCATTGTTGATGTTGGTACTCACCGATCAACTACGAGTGGCTTGGGCTGCATATGATAAGGTATTCATGACTCCATGAACACTGCTGGAAATGGCCAATATGGGAAACAACTTTATCGAATTATCCTTACTCTACCTGGGGTAATATGCTAATCATATAATCTGCTTGTCAAAACTCAACAGATACCCAGGCGAAAGCGGCGTTGTGGGCCTGTCGCCTTCAAGCGACATTCACCAAATCCTTTAGATGTCTTTTTCGCATATGTAATATTCAAGCCCGTCACTCCAGTTTGGCTTCAATTTGTCTTTTTTAATATCTCCACACGGTGAATACTGCGTTGGCATGGTAAGGACGATGTCTTTGCTGAACAGGTATAATTGAAACATTTAAACTGCGATGACGACGGCCTTGGAATCTCGGAGTCATGTGACAGCGCGTTAAGCCCCACCTACCTGTTTACCCCTCGATCCATCCAAAAGACATAGAGTTCAAAGTCACCATCATAGGCGGGTATCTTAAATAGACACCATTCCTGATATGCTTCACGAAATCCTACTTGCTCTAACAGGCTATAGGTCAGCTCTGTTCGACTCACTTGGAGACTTCGACGCGCACCTTAGCCCATCGGAGTATGAACTCTTGACGCGACTCAGACAACTAGCAGTTCTACATTCACAAACTCGACAACATGCACAACGTATTGCAGATATACATCCGTCAATCATCTGTAGGGCTACAGCGTCTTCCGTGAACTCGGTGCAACTAGCAAAATTTCGCACCAAGATTGTCGAGGTCGAAGCGAAGATCTTGACGAGAGATACCGACATTGTCGGCGCATACAATATAGTTCCGCTTGCACTTCTCGTCTCCGAGTTCAAGCAATATACCAAACTACTCAAATGGCTATGGAGTCTGGTTCGACGAATCGCTCCAGAAGATTTCCAGTCACACGATGCCAACCTCATGTCTGGCTCCGAGCTCATGGATAACCTAAGGCAAGAAGCGGTGACTGGATATCCTGAGCTTGAGACGGCTTCAAAGGAACTTTCGGTCGTTGCTGAAGCTGCGTGGGTAAAACAATTGTCCAGCTGGGTCTTATACGGGCAAATTCCAACATTCGGATCCTCAGACTTTGCTATTCAGATTGCATCAGAACCAGCGAACGGAGGGTTTGAACTCGTAAGCCAACTTCTGCCTCGATTCGTAACAGATGACACTGCCCAGGCGATATTGTTTGTCGGGAAAGTGCGCAACCTTCTAGGTGCGTCAGCCAAAAGTGATCCAAAGCTTCTAGTCGATCACGTCAAATCTCTATCTAGATTCTGTATTTCCAACTCCCCGTCAGATCTGACCGCTGGCGTTGCGGAGATCAGGCTCTCCCTCTCCAGTAACATACTGCACAATGTCCTCCCCCTCGCTCAAATCAGAAACATTCTCACGCTCTTATACGACTTTCTCCTTCTTGGGAACTCCGATTTCGCGCCAACCCTTGTCGCACACGCGGACCTTATGCGCAAATCCTTACCAAAAGAGAGCATCGCCAACGACATTTTGAACCGTACATGGAACTCGCTCGCACGAAACATCGACGACGACACCATCTCCACAGCGAAGCTTAGCATCCGACTAACAATGCAGAAGCCCGCAAACCTACACCATCAAAACTCCGCAAGCCTAGACTTCTCCGATTTCCTCCTCGCCTTCCCCACGTTCCTCGTACTTGACTGCCACCCCCCGTTCGACCTTTTCATGCAAGATGCCTCGGCATATATCCAAATGCACGCTTTTCTCCTTGCCATGCGGCGCGCCCGCCTCCATCTCTCCAGCCTCTGGACACATGACGGGCTCCGCCGGCATGGCCCTCCTCTTCGTGCCATGTGGGCGACTGCCAAAGCTGCACTTGGCTTGCTCTGCCACCTAAGCGCGTACTTCGAAGGTGACGTCGTGGGCGAACTATGGCAGCAATTCATGGCCTTCACTTCCGACTCTGCAAACCTGAACTTCGAACTCCTGCAAGACCGGCATCGTCAACTGCTAGACCTCCTCACCTCCCACCTTCTGCTGCCTGACACGGCATTCATTAAGTGTGCTCGCGAGTTTCTGCAGCATTGTGATCTGTTCAATAATACCTGGCGTGCGGACGCTGCGAGGGCGCAGTATGATGGCGTGGGGTTGGATCGGTGCAGGAAGATGCTTGATTTCAGTATGAAAAAGGTCGTCAGTAGACTGAGGCAGATCGATACGAGTCGTGTGGATGTACCGGATGGTGTGTTGAAGTGTGGCGGTGTAGATCGGTTGTTGCTGAAATTAAATTTCGATTCTGGGGAGGCGGCAGATGAGACGCAGGATTTGATTTCGCTAGGATGAAGGCGATGAAAATGACGTTCATGCAATATTTTTCCGCTGGACTTGGCTGTAGTATGTCCAGAGCTTTGGGGTCCAGTCAGTGGTCGCCTCGTGCGCCACGTTACACAGAGGGCCTCTTGGTGCACGAACAATATATCATTGTTCCACAGCAAGTGAGGATGAAACGCCTGTCTCTAACGATGCAGCTGAGATCGAAGCGTCAACTACCTTTTAACGTATCTTTACCGTCATACGTAATGTTAGAAGATATACTTGATCAACTATAGGATTCCATGAATTCAGGTAATCGGGATTAGAACGCGTAAATCTAATTACTAGCGCGAAGTCTAGATTACCCAATCACCTTGACCAGAGCAGCCTAAAGAATGAATAGGAGGCTTCGACACCGTATGATTGTATCTGTCTTTGTCTGATCCGTCGGGACATCCGCATAGGCCAGTGGTTCCTTGCTTGCTAATGTGAACGTTGTTCTACAGGACGTCACAACACGATACCCTGTGCCGAGATGTTGTAACGAAAGCCGTCTGCATGAGCGAATACATGATTGACTTCATGAAAGAAGTGGGTAATGAATGTGAGCAAGTGCTACGTGCTGGATGAGCAGTGGTTTCTATCTGGAACTCATTTTCGATAAAAACATGCCTTCTGTGCAACACTTTATGCCGTTTATGCGACCATCTTAGATCTGACCTCTTGTAGTGTTCTACACTGTACCCTCTCCAGCACTCGTTCAAACTATTTCACCTATCCGAAAGACTTCACGACCCTACCTTTCCATAGTCAATATCCAAAATCTCGGCCGCTCTTAAAATTGCGTTGGCAGACTTCTGGATCCACTCCTCTGCCTGCGCCAAATCGCCGCTTTCGACACCTTCAGTAATGGGAGGAAACACACTAGACACTTTAGCAAGGATGTGAAAGAAATATTCTTGTACGTACACCGCGCCATACCCATTGTCCAACCCGGGAGCGGAGAGAACATTGCGAAATGTATTCCTGCTAGGTAAGCCTCCCTGACTCACAAACCCGCGCTGAAAGTCGCGATACTTGCTATTGATGACCTGAATGATAGCTGTATCGTTTAGCATCTGCGCAGTCTGCCCAGCAGAGGTAATCTGTGCAGCCTTCTCCCCAAATGTGCCTATGGCGTCGCGGAGCGGTGTAGTGTTAAGGTCAACATTGGCGTCAGCGATAGTCTCCAGGAGCTCGTTATAATAATCCTGGAGAACATTTTCGTAGTTTGGTAGATCATATGGGAGTATACGCGAATCAGCGATTGTATACGTCAGAAGTGACATGAACTGGCCCATTGCGGTATGTACATGGAAACCTGGGTCACCAAAATTGACCATCCAGTGGAATGTGTCATAGTTGGAATGGTAATGATAGACGGGATCAGTGGGCCCTGCATCGGAGGAGATGTCCAGGGCGGATATGCCATTGTGCCAGAATGCTGCGTAGTCAGAGCCAGATCCGAGTGGTGGAATATAACCTTCAGTATAGTTGCGCCATGAGTCATACAGCGTAGGGCCAACACCATAACCCTCGGGGTACAAGATCTTTTTCATGGTTTCAGTGGCGATTGTTTGCAGATCACCAGTGCCGCTCAATCCAGTTCTGGGACCACCGACACCGATATCGATGTTAAGGTAGGAGACAGATACACTCGTCAACCATGGCAAATGACTCTCTACCCATTCGGTTGAGCCCTGGAGGCCGAATTCCTCTGCATCCCAGCTGGCCAAAAGTATCGTACGTTTTGGCTTCCACCCTTGTGCTAAGAGCTTCCCAAAAGCCCGAGACATCTCAATGAGAATTGCACTGCCAGAGTTGGGATCAGCCGCACCGCCGATGACCCATGCATCTCGATGATTGCCTACAATGACAACCTCATCCTGCGACGTTCCGTTGATGACGCCGATGACATTCCATACTGGTGTAATAGAGCTCTTCATAAAGTGAGTTATATTAATTGTCACACCTGGAGCTGGACCAGAAAAGTACTCAACGTCTTCAAGGTGACCAACGTAGGAACTACGATTGACCTTTTGTCCTGAGAAACCGTGGCCGTTGAGAGCACCCAAGATCTTCACTGCGTCTATCATGCTGACAGGTATGCTGGGTATGGATGGTGTATACGGCGTAGTATCTCCTCTGGGTGCTCCCGGGCCTGATGCGTAGCCCACTGTCGTTGGGTCTCCGGAGTAAAGAGAACTGAAACGCACACTACCTCGCTGAATTGAAGATGGCTGTCTCGCGGGTCCATCTACTCTCGTCAGGGATATGTCATTGGCGTAGAGATCCTCGAGAACTTACTCGGGTATGCAGCATATCCGTTCTTTGTGGTTATTTCTCCATCATCCAGCGAGTCTGTAAAGAGGACTGCACCCGCCATACCATTGTCTTGTGCATTCTTGACCTTTATACCACGATAGATACCTCCATACATGGCAACTGCAACCTTCCCCTCAAGCTCTATGCCAAGCTCCCTGAGTCTGTTGAAGTCTCCTTGAGCGCCTCGTCTGAACTTGTCGTGAGCCTAGCACGGGATTGAAATTGACTAACCTACCCAACATAGACGTATTCCGCAATGACCTTACCAGAAGCTGACATGGCATGGAATGCTGGGATTCTGTTCGGGAATGAAGTTGTGTCGTCTTCAACTAACACATCCTCAATTAGATTTGCGTTGTGGACGGAGCTATTTGTGTATCTGATGGCTAATGAACTATGCTGGGGGTACGTCGTATATACTGGGATCTCATACAACGATGCGTTGAGCCCGTTTTCATTCCAGCGATCAGCCGTCCATTGGGCCATGGACTTGTTGTGGCCTGTAAAAGAATGGTCAGTGTTTGTATCAACAAGGAGTAGAGCACTACCTCCAAGATGATCACCATGAGTATAGTAGTACGCCCAGTCTGATATAGAGTTGTTGTCAAAGGACTTTTGAGTAAATGATCAGCGTAGACTCAGCGTGGTGATGACCTGGGTGCTTACATTAACGAGAATCTGCTCTGCATCTGACAGCACTGGCGGGTACTCAACCTGTCGTTTAGCTAGCCTTTGAAGCTTCTTTGCTCTTGGGTTGTGTATCCAGTCATGCCTACAAGCTATAGCCGTTGTAGAGATACAAATTATTGCCGTTCCTGAGAGTCGCATCTTGGGTCATGACACGTTTTTCGACAATTGAAATAGGGGTTATCATCGTGAGCACCTGCGCCGAGTCATCCCTCCTCTTATGAAACAGCGAGCATACATCTTCTGAAAGCTCGGTTAGGCCCTCGCTGCGTAGGAGTCCAGGCATAACAAACGCTGTGTGATGACGTCCTGCTCTGAGCTTGATAGAGCGGCTCATCGAGCTTTGTGAATTTGACCTTCCATATTGGTATAGCTAAGGCGGGGATCCTGTCGGTCGCAAAGCCTTTTCGAGGTCAGAAGTGGTGTCATCTTGACGAAGCGCGGGGATATGTCGTGGCAATTGTGCTGATGCGAGAATCTCTTGGTCCGTGCAAGCTAGGGGTGCTTGCAGATTGAAACAAATAAATGTGGCTAGATATGCATATACGAACACTTGGCACAGTATATGCATCAGCGGTAACGGCTAGGTTGTCAAAAGTGTATGCATGTACTCCGCTAGAGTTCTGATACGCGGAGCATGATATTGTACGCTTTCTTCGTCATGATATAGCTTTCTCTGAGGCTTTGGCGCTATTCTTATAACTCTTTGATCAACTTATAGATCTCCGGTCTTGATTTGTCAACAGTGGTAAAGGAGTGTACAATGCTTTTTCTGGCTTCCTCCCATGGCTAGCCATAGCTTCAAAGTGATATTTCTCCGGGTTTTGACTGTTCTTATTTCTCTACATGTCCAGGGCTCGGTGGGACAGAGCCTGATTCCCATATGATAGGTTCTGGTCCCAGCTCAAATTCAATCGTACCGCCATCAACCATAACATCCGTATGTTCGAACCAATTCTTGTTCCATCGTTGTCCATTTAATCTCACGCTTTGTACATAGAAGCTTTCCTGTCCCAGATTCGTGGTTGAGATTCTCAATATTTTGTCATGATTGATCGTCATATTGATATCAGAGAACCATGGTGATTCAAGGAGGTATACAGGCTGCGTGACAATCGGATACATGCCGATCATCTGCCAAATTAGCCATGAATTTAGAGCACCTGCGTCTGAATTTCCTGGGACGCCGTAGTTGGCGTTTTTGAAGTACCGGTTCCCGAGATAGCGCGAGCGCTCGACAGACTTGTATTGTTTGTTGATACTATACTAATCAGCTGTGATCTCATAGTACCCGATGACATAACCAACTAGTTGTATAGATAGGGCGTTGCAAAGTCAGGCTCGTTGCCAATGTTCATGATTGTGTTAATGCCTGCTCCATTGGCACCGAGATTGGCCTGGCTACTGTTCGGCTCGAAGATGTAGTCAAGTCGCCGTTCAAAATCAGCTGCACCGCCCATGAATTCGATCAAGGTCTCAGCATCGTGCGGTATTGTGAATGAATATTCTACGAGACATGTAAGTAGGTATTCATTGCAGTAATACCGTAAACTTTACCGAAAGGCGTTCCTAACTGGTAGATCAGAACACGTCCCATATACGGTGATAGAAGGATTTGACCAACCCTCGTACGTTACTGATCTCCAGGAGCATTCATCGCAAATAGCCGGATTGTAGTTGGTAAGATTAAACTCTCCTGATGATAATCTAGGAGCCATAAATCCTTTGAATGACTCAGTCGTGTTGACACTGACGAGATCGTGTACCCAGATATTCTGCCAATTTGCTGATCGATTGAGGTACTTCGAGGCGTCACCAGGAGCTTCACCCTGGGCAACTTGATACAGTGAGAAGTCGTTCAGTGAGTACTCGACGGTTCTCGAGATACAACGCGTGCTTCTGTCAGACGATACATATCCAAGCGGTATCCAGTCATATAGAGCCCCTCGACCTTCTTTACGCTGCCTGTGAGATCAGTTGGAGAGAATGTATTGTATGGCACGACCTCAGCATCTTTCACCATTGCTGCATACCCCTCAGTCCAATTGATTCCTCCTCTTAAGCCTTTGACATAAGCGTCTGCGAGCACGTTGTCCGCATTGCTACCACCTTGAGTCAGGCCGTTCCAGTTACCAGATCGCCCATCAGGCATGAAGCCATCATATCGCCAGATGTCAATCAATGATCTAATCATGCTTTCGTAGGCTGTCGGCTGTATAAGATGGTAGAGGCTGACAGTACAGCGGAATATATCCCAGATGGCATAGAAATCATCCCAAGAAGGCTCGTCGGATTTCCATAGTGGATTTTCGCCTTCGCGGTTGGAAGGCATCAGATGCATGAAATATAACGAAGAGTAAAGCAGGATCAGGTTCGTCTGGTTGGCGGACTCGCCCGTGTCGACCTGTATCTTGCTGAATACCTCTTCGTTCCATTCCTTACGTCCCGCATCAACTGTCTGCTGAAGATCATAGGACGGGATTTCATCGTCTTTGAACCTGCAAGCCTTATCAGTCGATATGAAGGATATCCCAACTCTCGACCGGATCATGTTAGGACTAGAGCTATCCCATGAGAAAACAGCTCCTACTCGATCATTCATCAAGCCTGCTTGCTCTGATATTTGACCGCCGAATATGGGTAGCTGGGGCCCGCCATTCGCGAAGTTATGTTGGCGTTGCATTGGATCAGTGTTTCGCCCTTTGAAGGTCTTGCTTTTAGTTGGAGGGGTTTCAAAGTCGCCACAGAAATGTACAGTCATCGGTGCGCCTTCGTTGAACCCACCACCGTATGTCCCGTATCCAGTGTATATGCCATTATCCTTGAGATTGATCTCACCACCTAAGTAGTACTGGATGCTACTGCCACCGAAACCGCCATCAGGCAAGTAGTGAGAGACGTCCACAAGAACGTGCCGCTCTCCATCCGGAAAAGTATACTGTAATATGCCGGAATGGCGAGCGCCAGATAGTTCAATTTTGATTCCGTCAGCAAGCTCGGTCGAGAAGTAGTTGACCTAGAGACATTGGCGGAAGAAAGAGTAGTTTTGGAACACAACACCGACCTGAGCAACGTCGTTCCCAACTCTGCGCTGCCAGTATGTCGTGTTGTCTAAGATGTTTACTGGAGCTTTGATTGTTGTAAGAGGCATTTGTGCAATTACACCATACTTCGGAGGACCTCCGGTACCTAATGGATGCAGATGTCAGCCCATGCGTCGTATCTGCTCTATTTGTAATGATACCGGATTCATGCATCATGCTTATTGCAGTGACTTTTCCATTTGGAGTAAATCCTCCATTGAGAGTTGCGCGATCCTGATTTTCTTCGATACTATCAATGCCTACTTTGCAACGCCGAATGGAACGGCGCCTCCTACTAAGATATCTCCTCCGCCAAATGCTTCACCCGGGTATGGGCCTTCGGATCCGATCAGTGGGTTCACGAATTGCGAATAATCGACTTGTGCAGTAGCATACTGTGGCAAGTTGAGGAGAAACATCAACAGAGCTTTCGAAGAGAGGGACGGCATCATGAAGATATGCGGATGCTTCACTGTTCTACTGGGCGGTGCCAGCGCCTTTTGTAGACGACTGGCGTTACAGAGCCTACTACATATTGAGCGATGAAGTGGTTTCACGGTACTCGATGATATCACGTTCCACGCGCTGGGATCGAGTGTGACCTATATTCTATCTCAAAACGGGACGGTGCGGGGTTAGATGATGTGCAACGGTCGACCTGCATATGCGGCGCCGTAGAAGACCCGGGAGAGTGTTGGGCTGTCCTATTGACTGGACATCCGGGGATTCTTGATATCGGTGTGTCTGTGGTCGAAGTGAATTGGCCTATTGTTGTATGTCTTTTATTGATGGACACAGGAGTCATAATAAGATGAGTGGCTCGGCCAATGACGAGCTGAATTCTTTCTTAGAGTTGACTTTTAGCGTGGCTGAGCACACGTGATTGCCCGCCATCTACAGAGTACACGCTAGCCTCTTCTAACCTTCCCCAGCCACTCCCACTTTAAGTCAAGAGACGCGTCCACCCACCTTACGTTAACCCGATTCATCTCTTGTTACAACACTCCCCTCCTATAATCCCAATTACTCTTCCTCTAAACTCTTCCAAATATTGCTGTATCACGACTAAGATACCGAAAATCAGAAGCGTCATCCCGTGACGCATTTCCACAAAGTTGCCAGGTCTATAATTTGCAAGCTATAGGATAGTGTCAATAGCTCTACACAGCTTTGATCGTCAGATATTGTTCACGCAACAGACAACTCCGCAATTTTGGACACCCTCGGAACAAGAAAACCTAATTCTAGGCCAGCATGCCCCTGTTCGAGAGCATCACCGATCGTTTCTGGAATTATGTGTCTCCTCGCAAGACTCAAGAGCGTCGCGACAAACCATTCAAGACCCCTGCGCTACCACCAGTCACAGTCCAACATCGGAAGACCGGCGCATCGTCTACCAAATCCGGCCGTATGTCTATGAGTCCTCGAAGTCGTGTTCAATCTTGGAAGATGGCCACAGGGGAGTTTGTCAGGCCAGCGGATCATCGAGCACCATTTGCTACGCCCTCGATTGGCGGCGCAACACCACCGCATGACAGTATAGACATGGATCTTGAAGGAGTAACACTCATGGATGACATAGAAGAGGAGGATCTAAAGGACTATTCGGCGCAATATGACGCAAATGACGAAACAATGGTGGACGAGGAGTACAATCTGAAGGAGGAAGTGGTTTTTGATCTTGAAGAGGAGCGCAGAAAATGGGCCGTTAAAGCTGAGGAGATGCACGGAGAAGGCTGGAGCAAGGATGCAGTCGACATATATATTCGCATCGGTATGCGTGGCCATGAACCACTGCTTCCTGCCTCTTGGGCGTTCGACTTCCGTACTCTGCCCTCTACCATGTTCTCCACCGACCCTTCTGAAGCTTTTATCAAGTCTGTTCAAGAATCAGATTTCAGAGGTATCAAAGCCACTTCGGATCTCCTCTTCCTCGGCCGCAATGTGCGCGATGCCCGTTACTACCCGGACCCTTCCCGCACTTCTCATACTGTTGCAAAGCGTGCTCTGAAAGCCTATTACAAATGGGCCACTGAAGATGCCTCCGTGACTGGGCCCTCCGATATCCCAACACTTGTAATTGAAGCTGGTGGCGTCAATGTTCCAGCTGCAGTCATGCAACATAACATGACCCGCCGCCTCCACAAGCTTGCCAACCGCTACCGCGACGCGCTGCGGGTGCACCCTTCGACTGAACCGGAAGATTCAGAGATGAGCGCAAACCCGCCGTCTGAAGCCGAATATACCGCCCCCCTTCCCACTCTATATGGTATTATTGCGAGTCATACCGTGCTAGCGTTTGTATGCTATGAACCATCCGACGACGAGGCCGGCCTACGGATGATCGGCGTTTTCGATTTCGGCGAGCCACACACTGACGTATGGAACAGTCTCGCAGTGGCGCAATTTATTGTGCAGGCGCGGAATAGTATGATGGCGATGCAACCATACACAAAGCATGATCTAGATGACGGAACGATGGAGGAGGACGACCCAGACGCGTAAGCCCCCGAACGAAGAACGAAAAACTCTTCTTGATCATCTCACCTTTCTTGCTTTCTTGGGCTTCTGGGGTCAATGACTATGGATTAAATGGGGGATGACTCTATAGCTGTGTGCCCTGAAACTGATGGAGTTTTGGAGGGCACGGCTAGGAACCGTCCTAGTGCACATTTCTTTGTTTAGTCTGTTACGTGATGCGATGCACCGATACCCCCTTTTTCCCTGATGGATAATGTTTGCGATGAGTTTCTTTTGTACAGCAGGTTTGGAGTCACGCAGGCGTACTCGGGTCTGATGTGTGATGAGAAATGAGATCAGACGGTCGCTTGTGTAGTTGCTAGGATTGGATGTGCATGCCACATGGACATTCGGGTCAATAAACATCTTATATGCAGACATGACAAGTGTATCGGTGAGCACGTATTTGACCTGCGTCTACATCCATTATACGAGCACTGACATGTAAGCCTGAGCGATGGTCTCGCATAGCGCATCCAGTGGACCTCCGTACAGATACCGGTGGACCCTCTCCCGAGTCCTTCACTACTACCAGTCATGACATCACTTCCGGACTAGCTGATGATATGACTTTCGCCCTCATCTCAATGTTCTCAACCTTCCTAACTCATCTCCAGAATAAACACGATTCCCTACACTCCCCTTGGCCGTTTCATTATGCTGCGCCCCTTCGACCGCACTCGTAAACCCCCAAGCTCACGCTCTACCTCCACCAACACGATCCCCTCTTCCGCACACAACAATGTCTCCGCGAACGTCGAAAAGGGCAACCCAAACGCCGAAGCCCCAGCACCCGTTGGATTCTGGCACCCGTCGCTCGCCCGCGTGCGTTTCTGCGCAATGAAGAAATGGGCCATCGTCACGTTAATTCTCATGATGTTTATATTGGGCGTGCTATCGCTGTACTGGGCCGTGCTGTTCCATGTACCGCAGAACCTGCATGCTTTGAAGGTATATGTCGTTGATTTTGACGCGCCGGGTAACGGGGAGCGTGCGATTGTTGGGCCAGGCGTGGTAGAGGTTGTGATGAGGCAGCTTGAGCGACCGAGTCACCTGGGATTCGAAATGCGTGATCCAGCGGAGTTTAGGTATGACATCTTGCGTGTGCGCGAGGCCGTGTATGAGTGGGATGCGTGGGCGGCAATTGTTGTGAACCCTAACGCGACTGAGGCGCTCTATAATGCTGTGCGGAGTGGAGACTCAACGTACGATCCGATGGGCGTGGCACAGATCGTGTATCAGAGTGCGCGAGACCAGAGCGTGTGGCAGAGCTACATCTCGCCTGTTATAGATAAGGTTGTGAGCGAGGCGACGAGTGCAGTTGGCATGGGATGGGCGGGAATTGTTTTGGGCAATGCGAGTCTGATGGACAACGCGGCAAGCGTTCCTCAGGCGCTCAGTCCTGCGATTGGATTTTCGAGATTCGATCTAAGACCATTTACACCGGAGGTCGCAATTCCAGCTGTGAGCATTGGACTGATATGTAGGTTCTACATGGTGTACTGATCAAAATCTGGCTGGAACCTGAGGCTGATATCTCGCAGATCTCATCATCCTCTCGTTCTTCTCGTTTCCGTTTTACATGCCTATCCACATGCAATACCTCAACCCTCAGGGCCACCCTCCGCTTAAGGTCCATCAACTTATCATTTGGCGTTGGTGTGCGACCGTTTTGGCGTATCTTTTCCTCTCGCTGGCCTACTCTCTTGTCTCCATGGCATTCCAGATCAACTTTTACGAATCTCCGTCGACACCATTTAATCCATTGGACATACCTGGAATCGAAATGGGTAATGCTGCGTCGTATGATCGTGGGACGTTTTTGGTATACTGGATGTTAAACTTCATTGTACGTTGATACATAAACTCTTTGGTGGGTTCTGTGTCTGAACTGACTCTTCACAGGGCATGATCGCTCTCGGCCTCGCATGCGAGAACGTTGCAATGATGATCGGACAACCGTGGACTGGTCTATGGCTCATCTTCTGGGTGATCACAAACGTATGTACATCTTTTTACGATCTATCATTGGCGCCCCGATTCTTCCATTGGGGTTATGCATGGCCGCTGCACAACATCGTGGAAGGAAGTAGACAGATCTTGTTTGACTTGCACAGTCGCTTAGGCCTGAATTTTGGGGTACTCATTGCCTGGGGAGCAATCAACACTGCGCTTTTTCCATTCTGCTGTTGGTTCCAAGGATGGAAAACAAGAAGGGGCGTACATGAGTACTTTCCGCTTCATGGAAACTAGTTTCATATTGGGCGAATCTCAACAATGTGTCAACCTAGGATGACATTGCCACGTTCATCGACGAGCCTTGAATTTCTCGTGCCATTTGCCGCTCTTGGAATTGACTGTGCGATCTGCAATATGGCTTTTGACGGCGATTAACCGTGGGTTAGGTTGTGTGTAGAAGCCCTGTCAAAGTGACAGTTAGAGTCAACCAGGTGCCTAGGGTATGGATACACACCTTGATAGCGTCTATCTTGACATCCTGTTCCCATTCATCAGGTAGAGCTTCACGCCAAGCCGCCATAAATTGACTCAATGGTATTTCTGAATTGGTTTCAGTGAGCACCTGCAGCGTCACCTTACCAAGCCATTCAATTGTAAGAGGTTTGTCGAGAGTCAGCTCTTCAGTGCTATGTCCAGCAGTCGAGATTCGAAGGATCAGGGACTCAAAGAATTCGATAGGCATTTTCTCGTCCATCAAGGTGTCATGAAGCTTCGCCAAAGAAAAGCTTGATATTAGTGGGATGCTTTCGGCAATCGCAGCCGTCAGTAATACACGCCAGGCTTCATGGATGGCGGCGGGGGACGGACACCAGCTACGACCTTCTACTTCGAAAGCACAAAGTTCGCCCCAGGCTCTTTCACACTCGCCATCTGAGGAAGGTATATTAGCAAATATCTCGACTTTGCTACGTGCGCTGTTGTTAAGCAAGACTACGTCGTCAGCCTCTCTGTACTCGGGAAGAAGCTGCCGAAGAACCACAAGCGGTGAATCCTTGGAGGGATGCAGTTCAAGGGTATGGCTGCAAGACGCTATAGCTGAGACGCTGCTTTGTGGCAAAATAGATCCCGGACTACGAAAGGGAGCTGCACGAGTGACATATACTGAATTGGATGTCTGGACCTGGCGCAATTGGTACGTCTGATCTTTTGTACATAGCGCGACATATGCCGGCTTTGATGATGATGATAATGCGTCGAGCGACTTGATATGCAGACTGTGACAAAAGGTTAAAGGTTAAAGGTTTGGAGGTATTGAGGTTACGCATACTTACATTGGTGGCTCAGGCGATGAGATGAGGTCTAAGATGCCTTGAGGTAGCTCCAGGAGTTTGAAGGCTTCCTGCTCAGCAGTAATAGTGAGAGCGGTGCGAGCGTGATCCTGAGTAGACATCTGTTGCATGGCTGGTGTTGGGAGAACAGAATTAATTGGACATCATTATTGAGATAATTAGTGATGGAAAGCTGCCGCAAATGAGGGGAAATAGCGTGCTGAAAACTTCGCCCAAAACAACGCGTCAACCCACGACAGGGCTCGATCGACGCGCGTGACTATTATTAGATTGATTTCCGATCAATATCTGGAAGTGGCAGTGGTGGCATGCAGCATCAGCACCTACCGTCCAAGTTTCAATCTGTCTGTCGAACGCTTGACTGGCATCACCCTCGTTTGGCTGGCCTCGCATCCCGCTCCAAGATCACCAATTCGCTCGCTCTATCTATCGTCTGCTTTTTCTACTCGTGGCGTCTGGCGTCTCGTCTCCTCGCAGGTTGCGATTTCGACCTGTTGTTTACTTGCGCTCACAGCATCACCACTCGACAGATCCCATCGTCGTTGCGCATACTCGACACCAGTGCTGATCGATCCAGCATCACCATGATTGATTGCCACTGATACGCATCACTTTCTGGCTCCTTGGCGCAATGGCGCTCATCAACCCACCCCCGCCAACCCTGTCTGCAGACAATCTCTCCATCTTCTACACTACCGATGAACTATTGTCCGCCTCTCCGACTCTTGTCCTGCACGGCCGCTCAGCAACCGCATCGGCGATTCCGACCAATTCGCGAATTCAAGTTCACATATACAGCCCAGCTGGATTCCAATCATTCCCTCGCCTCACAGTAGCCCCGAGCTCCCCATTATACGCGGCCGTTGACTGTTTGGCAAGGGAGGAACAAGGGGACGAAATATGCAGAGGTCTCGCGTTCAGCTTATACAAATACTTCAGCGAGCTTTCAGATGGCGTCAAGAACACCTGGGAGACGAGAGCGAATTCTTTTGGTCAGCTCCCGTCTGCGCCGAAGCTGTTCTCTGACGCCCATGCTGCGATTCTTGCAAGCCGCATGGTCAAGATCGAGAATCCCGCTCATGTCATTGAGGATATCAAGCAATCGCTAGCACAACAGACTATATCATGGATCGACCTCGACATTGTTGTGCCAGCGGGGTCGATGAGGCAACCTCCAGAGAACATGAGGGAGTCTGATCTGTTCAATGCTAGTGAAGAAGATACAATAGATCAACGTTACGGAGACATTGCGCCCTGTGTCAGACTTTTCGGACAAAGCGCATTCTTGCCTACATCAAAGTTGAAGAGAGCCCCGTCTCGACCGACGAATCTCAATCGCACATTGGCGTTTACCAAGAAGCAGAAAGAGAACTTGAGGCGCGAGATGATTGAGTTACTAGACACCGAGGAAAGCTATGTGAGCAAAATCTATGACCTTCTTCACAGCGTTGCCGAGGACTTTAGACAAAAAGCGAAGAAGAAAAGTATGAGTAGCGGAAGCCCAAGCGAGCAGGCCTTGAAAGGATTGTTCCCACCCAGTCTTGACCAGATACTGCAAGTCAACTCATCGTTTCTTGAGGTGATTCGCAACATTCTAGACGCAACGGAAGACGAGGCTATTCATGACCTGGAGAACACTAGCGACGACCCTGACGTCGTCTCTGCTGTCGACCCAAATGGACCGGATGTTACTGGAGCCGTCACTTTGGCCAGAAGCCTTGTTGAATGGTTTCCCAGATTCTCCGACTGCTACACGCAATATATACATGCTCACGCTGAATTTTCTGGATTCCTACGAATTTTTCTTAGCGAAACAGGCTCTAGCTTTTCCAGGCGTGTTCAAGAAACCGGCGAGCAGCGATTGATGTCAATGCTCATAGAGCCGGTACAGCGTTTACCACGCTACAACCTTTATATTGACAACATTGTCAAGCAACTTCCAGTTCGCCACCCTGCATTGAAGCCGTTCCTAAAGGCGCGGGACATAATCTCGGAAATATGCTCGCGAGAGTCTTCAGGTTCACAGCAAGTTAAGATCATGAACAATTTGCGACGATCTGTAGCATCCTGGCCTGTTGACTTCCAAGCACGCGGCCGTTTCATCACAGCTGTTGATGTGACAGAGTTGGCACCTCCATATAGAGTAAAATTCCAAGGCGTTGGCGCCGATCCCGGTATCTTTCTGCTATTCACGGATTGTTTAGTACTGCTTCGAAAGCTGTCCAGACGGAATACAAATGCCCGGAGCTTGATCGCTGAGCTTGAAGGTTCTTCAGCAATGGAGATCGACTCAGATGGTCGAATGCAGCCTGATCTTGTATTTCATGAGCAATTCAGCCTCAGCGAGCTTTCCATTAGTGAAGCTAACGACGGAAGAGTCTTACATCTACAAAGCAGCCGCACCAAGCCTGATCATGAGGTGCCGAGGGTGTTCAGCCTTTCAATGGCTTATGAAGGTAGAGCCGCCAAGTTCTCCGAAGAGTTTGTCAAAGCGAGAGTGGAGGGTCGGTTCCCAGAAGCAGAGCGTGATAGTTACAAGTGGGAGGTTCGCTCTGTACCGGGAGATCTTTCATTATTTCCCGCGATCTCCGAAGATCTCGCAGGGCATCGTCCGTCTGGCCGACGACTACCTGCGCCTATCAGAGTTTACATTGATCCGTCAAAATTCTCAGCAACTGCAAAACCGGGTGATCTTGGTATAGAGGTGGTATGCAGATTGTCCATTCTAGGCGAGAATTTCTATCTGCTGGACATCACGGGCACAAATGATTACGCGAGTCGGGATCGGCTAAGTTCTACGGAGTTCATGCCCGTGTTTACGAAGAGATGTAAGTCACTTGCCCTTGATTTCCTGGACTGCAATATACTGACAGATTCTAGTGAGCAATTTTTTCCAACTCCGCAATCAGATCCGTAATCCTGCGATGACATCCCTATTCCTCATGAGAAACCAACAGATTCTATCTAGCCTGAACGTAATTCTACCAGGTGTAGATCCAGAACCTTCCGGCGACAAAACTTTCCGCTCAGCTTCTCCCGTGAAGATGCTCTCCAGTTTTTTCAGCGGAACTTCCAAAGACTCCAACTCCTTCCGAAAACAACGACCTATGTCTACTCTCGGCGATGCACCTCGACTTCTCGCGCCATCGTCTTCTAGGCCTCAGAGTCGGGACAGACCCCTGAGCCGAGACAGGCCTGAAAGCCGAGACAGCGAGTCTACATCTCGTCCCCAGTCCGCCGGAGTAGGTACGGTCAGTAGCACTCCGACGCGAACCGCTGAGTCTATGTCGAAACTGGAAGATACACTTTGTGCTTACCTCTTGGCTCTACATTCCCGAAAAGGAAACGTTGTCGGGAAGAACATACGTAACCGAGCCACGGCCGATGAGCTTGTAGTGAACGAACTATACAATGCATTGCTTGAAGACCCTGCTAATCACCAAGCTGCAGCTCACGCCTCTGTGGACGTCGTATTTTCTGCCTTCGAAAAGTTCGTCAAGATAGCATGGAAGGAAAAGATGGGCCCGGTCGTTGCTGGACCCATACTGATTGCCTTCCAATCAAAGTCGGATAGCTCGTACCCTGGCGAATTTGAAAGCTACTTCAGACAGATTTTCAGCGATATGTCACCGCCGAACCAACGAGCCTTGCAGTCTATCGTCAAGCTGCTAGCGGATCTGCTTGAAGGCACAGGCAACGACGGTGATCGAGGCATACTCACTGCTTCCTTTGCGGAAATTCTAGTGACAGACGGCAATGCAAACGACTTCATCTCGCTCTTGGATCGTTTTGTGGAGGATATATATCTTCTGTTCGCTCCAGAGCCAAGCACGCCTCTACACAGCTCTATCAGTTCCGAGACGCGTATCAGGCTCGCTCATACCGGGTCCCTGAGCTCTAATGCTTCATCACTTCGAAAGAAGTTCGGTCTTGGTGGTTTGACCCGCGAAAATAGCAAGTCAGACCTCGAATCCAAATTCGGATCTGTCTTCCGTACTTTAAGCAAGACTGCGCGTGGAGAAAGCAGTCGCAATGACCAGACCCAGCCTGCAGGCATGTCCAGAGCCTCACTTGTACGATCACGTTCGACAGACACCGACGCGCGTGTTTCACCGAAAAGACCAGTGTCTCGGGACCGACCTACTGTTCTGGGTGCTTTCGCATTCGAGGACGATACATCACACTCGGGCAGAAGCTTTTTAGGTGTCTCTGGGCTGGACACTATCGGCGAGGTGCCAAGTGCCCACAAGCATCCACGCAAGAAGCGAAGGAGTTCTTTGTCGGATTTGAAACCCCTGCAGTGCCCTGCGCCTGGAACACCGACATGGTCACCACAAACACCTCGACGTCCCACGCATGTTCGCCAGACGAGCGCGTCGCCTTCCACCCCAACACGTACCCCTAAGACTTCGCATATACCGGAACCAGTACCGACGCCTTTGACTAGGAGTAGTTCGCCAACAAAGGAGAACGGTCCTCCTAGGACACATCGCGGACACTCTCCTCTGAAGACACCCATTCCCGCAGCTACAAGCGATGTGACCATAATCAGCCGCGGCCCCAGCAAACGCCGTAGCGACTCTGTCTCAGGCATTCCAATGTTGAAGACCAGCTCAACCGCCCCTCCTATCCTCTCTGAGCGTCCTAGCTCTGGCAATACGCCCAAGGTGTCTTCAACCACCAAAGTTCCCACCGCTACCGGGAGAAAGCCACCACTCTCGTCTTCTCCTCCGAAGAAGCTCCGTATGCAGTCCCCGCAGAAACTCCGTGAGCGTCTACAAAAAGAGCAAAACGCAATTGCTACATCCTCGCCTATGCTTCAGGCGGAATTGTGTAAGATTGGCGATGAGATTGCCGCGCAGGCAAGCTTGAGGAGTGCTTCACCTGTTCGGGCCTCTCGCTCGAACACTGTACACTCTTCTTCGTCCAAGTCGTCAAGTCTTACTCCATCGATTGCCTCTATGGGCCCTCTCATCGGCAGAGTCACAACTCTTGAGTCTAGACTTAGCACACTAATTAGCGAGACAGAGTCTCGTACCAAGGCCATCGGCGCTGATCTCTCCAGTAGTTTGCAAGTCAGTGAGACGAAGGCGCGCAAGCTGGATGAGTTGTATAGAGAAGCAAATGCGGAGAATGAGGCGCTCTATGCGAAGTTCAACGATGAGTTGATAAAGGTCGTAAGAAATGTCAGGGGTGGTGATGGTGTTGAGGAGCTGAAAAGACTGCTGAAGGCTAGCCAAGAGGAAGTTGCTGTTCTGAAGAGGGAGAGTAGCCGACTCAAGAGGGAGAATGTAGGCTTAAGGGCGCAGCTAAGAGAGTAATGCTGGTGGCTGTCGACTCACGATGGATTCAGCGTTCTGTTGTCATTGTGACTCTGGGTGATCATAAGCCCCTCTGGTGCGCCCGAGAGACTTGGGCAAATACAGGCGTTATCATCTACTTCTTGTATCATACTTCGGGTATAGACTCTCTCACAAAGGGCGCCGGGTGGTGTAAGGAGGTTTCTGTCAGCATAGTTATGATGACCCAAGCGAATGTATCCTAGGTATGGAACGTTATGAATGCATGATTTTCATTGCTGCCGCACATCTATAGACGAGCAGAATCATTCACGTCCCATGTGCGTGACCCCTTAGTGCCCATGTCCATCATCTTGACCCCTCTGCTCTGGATCCAGCTTGATCAACGTATCAATCCGCATAATCGCAATACATGCCTCCACCGCACTCTTCAGCTGCTTAATTTTGCTCATACTCGGCTCCAGTACGCCCGCCTTGATGCTATCCGCAACCTTGCCCTTGCTCAAGTCTAATCCATAGTTTTTGTAGTTCTTCTTACGGATCAAGTCCTTCTCGCTCTCGCTTGGCGGCGCATTGTGCTCTGACGCCGGCGTATTAAGCCGCTGCGACAACGCGTGCCGCGAACGTAGCTGTGCGACGAGCTCAGAGCTGTCGAGCGCTGCATTAACGGCCAAGCACTTTGGAATAGACAGCAACGCGGTCGCGAAGGCGCCAATGGCGAGCTGCTCCCGCGAGCCAACACTGGTGGCCCATTCCTCAAGGTAGATGTGCAGAGCAGTTTCGACGGCACCGCCACCGGGCACGACCTTGCCGCTCTCGAGAGTGCGCTTAACAGCGGACAGGGTGTCATGTACGGAGCGTTCCATCTCGTCGAGCGAGTAGTCATTTGCGCCGCGCAGGATGATAGAGGAGGAAGAGTGGACCTTCGTGCCCTTGACAATGATACATTCGTCGTCGGAGATTCGCTCCTGGGCAACTTCTTCTGCGTCGCCGAGGCTGGAGGCCTCGAACTTCTCGTCGCCGTTCAGGTCAGAAAGGGAGGAGATGAGAGTGGCGCCGGTGGCCTTTGCGATGCGGCGGAGATCTTCCTTCTTGCAGCGGCGGACGGCCATGGCACCTTTTTCGATAAACTGCTTGAGGCAAAGGTCGTCGATGCCCTTTGTTGTGAGGACGACGTTAGCGCCGGATTTTAGAATCATCTCAACACGCTCGAGAACGATGCCGGATTCACGCTCGCGTATCTTTTCGAGTTGTTGTGGATCGTCGACAGTGATGTGCACGCCAAGCTTCATCCGCTCTTTTTGGAGGTTGATGTCCAGGCAGGCGATTTTGGCGTTCGGGATGCGGGTCTTCATGGCTTGCGATGCGACAGTACAGTTCAGAGCGTAGCCCTTGACGAGGATTGACTCTGTGGCGCTCTTCCCGTGTGCCTTTAGGATATTGACTGCCTTTACTGGGTATTTCACCTCACCCTTCTGGTTCGTCGACTTGACGGCTTGCATGGCGTCGACGCACATGTTCGCGAAGAAATCCGAGTCTCCACCGATGATCTTACTTGACATCGAGGTCTTTGCAATATTGACGAGACTCTCCCTGCCTAGCTTCTCAACCGGTACGCTGATGTTCTCGTTCATGTACTTTACAGCCTCTCGGAGCGCGAGTCTGTAGCCTGTGATAATTGTCGTTGGGTGGATTCGGTTCTTCATGAGCTCATTTGCCCTCCGTAATAGCTCCGCGGCGATTAATACAACTGATGTGGTTCCATCGCCCACCTCCCTATCTTGTTGCTGTGCGAGGTCCACTAGAATCTTGCCTGCTGGGTGCTCAATCTCAAGAAGACTTAAGATAGTTGCGCCATCATTGGTCACGGTAACGTCGCCGATATCGTCCACCATCATCTTATCAAGTCCTGAGGGTCCAAATGAGCTTTTTATCACATTCGCGATAGCTTGCGTCGCAAGAACATTCTGGTCGCGTATATCCTGACCCGTAATCTTTTGTCCGCCAAGAACTGTAGCTTGTCAGTTGATGTCCCCGTAGACAGGTTGCTGAGCTTACACAAAGTTCCAGCATTTCGAGGTTGCTCAAATAAGGAAGCCATTTTGAATGCGAGTATATGTGTTGCTTCGCCTGTTCCTAGAGCTCTCCAACTGCTAGGCCGACGCGAATCTTCAAAAATTCAAGACAGTCCGGCTGAACCGTGGATCTGCGCGCGTGCCAGAGACAACGCACGGGCGCGGACGCTGTTTGACTGTTTTGACCCCTCAGGCGGACCCCTCCAAAGATTCACGTTCAGTCACCGCAGATTAAGAGTCAGAGCTTCCGCGCCGCAAAGGTGACTCAACTACAGCTTTCCGTGGCATATATCTGGGTGTGCGCTCTAGTGTTTGTCTCGTCTGTACTCTATTATTCATTCAACATGGCTTCCGACGCATCAGCTTCCGCTGCTGCTGCTGCTGCTGCTGCTGTAGACAGCAAACTACAAGACATGTCGATCTCCGAAACAACTAAAAAGAAGGAGTCTAAGAAAAAAGAGCCCAAGAGCAAAGAACCCAAGAACACTCAGCAGAAGCAAGCGAAAGCCAAGACAAGTAAGAAGAATGACGACGCCGCCCTCATTGGTATCAATGTGAAAAAGGCAGACGATCTCGCAGATTGGTACCAGCAAGTCATTACCAAGGGTGGCATGATAAGCTTCTATGACGTGTCTGGCTGTTACATCCTTAAGCCCGCTTCATATTCGATATGGGAGTACATAAAAGAGTGGTTTGATGCGAAGATCAAGTCAATTGGTGTGGAGAACTGTTATTTTCCCGTCTTCATCTCGGAGGACAACCTTACTCGTGAGAAGGAGCATATCGAGGGTTTCGCAGCTGAAGTAGCATGGGTGACACACGGGTAAGCCCATTTCCAACGCACTTCTCCAGTCGCTTGATTGACATTGTATGCAGTGGCCAGAGTAAACTCGAGAAGCGCGTTGCTGTTCGTCCTACCTCCGAGACCGCGATGTACTCCGAATTTGCGCGCGAGATCCGCAGTCACCGAGACCTCCCCCTGAAGCTCAACCAATGGAACAATGTCGTGCGCTGGGAGTTCAAGCATCCGATGCCGTTCCTGCGCTCGAGGGAGTTCTTGTGGCAAGAGGGCCACACTGCACATTTGACCAAGGAGGGCGCTGGTAAAGAGGTCCACCAGATCTTGGATTGGTACGCTGGTATCTATGAGGAGCTTCTGGCTGTTCCCATGGTGAAAGGCACAAAGACCAACAATGAGAAGTTTGCCGGTGCGGACTACACAACGACCGTGGAAGGTTTCATTCCTGCCACTGGACGTGGGATTCAGGGAGGCACGAGTCATTGCTTGGGGCAACACTTTAGCAAGATGTTCGACATCAAGGTAGAGGATCCCGACCAGAAGAAAGAAGATGGAGGTGAGGGCAAGTCTAAGCATCTCTTCGTTTGGCAGAACTCGTGGGGATTCACAACACGATCCATTGGTGTAATGGTCTTGACCCACGGTGACGACAAGGGGCTTGTTATGCCTCCAAGGGTCGCTAAGATTCAAGCAGTCATTGTTCCCGTGGGTATAACTGCAAAGCTTGGAGAAGAAGGTCGCGCAAAACTTGAGGAGCAAGTCATAGCCATCGCGGAAGTTATCAAGGCAGCCAACGTCAGAGTCCACATCGACAGCCGTGAGGGCTATTCTCCTCCCTGGAAGTTCAACGATTGGGAGATGAAGGGTGTCCCGCTCCGTATCGAAGTTGGACCCAAGGATCTCGAGAAGCACCAGGTCTGTACTGCTCGTCGTGATACTGGAGAAAAGGGATCTATTCCCATTACGCAGCTTGGTACTGATGTGCCCACCCTGCTTGATACCATCCAATCAGATATGTTCAAAAGAGCTGACGCCATATATCGCGAGCATCGTAAAGAAATCACCAATTGGGATGACTTCGTCCCGGCGCTGAATTCTAAGAATTTCTGCCTTATCCCACACTGCGAAGGCGATGACTGCGAGGACGAGATCAAGAAAATGAGCGCGCGGACAGATACTGGTGATGACGTTGCCGAGGACGCCCGTGCTCCAGCTATGGGTGCGAAGAGTTTGTGTATTCCGTTTGATCAGCCTTCTGGTATCACCCTAGGCGAAACGAAGTGCACGAACCCCAACTGCAAAGCCTTAGCGAAGTCGTGGGTCATGTTTGGACGGAGCTATTAGAGACATATGCTCATCTCGTTTGGTGTTACACTCTATGATATTCGGGTGTTTTATTGTATTTGATCTTCATGGAGCGTTTGGGTGGTGAGGAGTCATGACCTGGAACGCAAAAGTGAATGCATTTCAGCAATAGGGTTATGCCGTCTATGCTATAAGAAATCAGATTAGTACAACTTAAGTGTTTGGGACATTCATTCTAGTGAGTATCAAATCTATGAACCGTGACGCTGAACCGATAAAATGAAAATGTGCATTGCTGTAAGGGGTATCTATACAAAATGAGGTCCAAACCGCTCAAATCCCGTATGCTTCCTAGCTATCTAATTGATTGTGCTCTTTTTTTATGCCAACTGCTCTCGTGTCCTTCACTCCACCGGGTTTCCATCACATCCAACGCAGCAGAATTGCAAAATGCTCCATCCTTAATCCTTGTTCACACGGCCCGGTAGTCGCCAAACTCACAAGAGTTCCACTGGACACCACCATCAACCTCCGTTGGCGAAGACGAAGCCATCGACCCTCCAGACCACATCTCCCCTTCAACCTGGCTCAGCAGGGAGTAGCCAGTGTTCACACTACTACCAGACAGAGATCTCACGTGCTGGCTCTCGTGTATCGGCGAGGAACTATGCGCCGCTGATGCGCGAAGCATCGCGACCAGGCTAGCGAAATGCGGGTCAACTGTTGTTGGTCGACCGGCACGGGTGTTGATGGGAGTGCCATCTGGGCGGCGGAAGAGTGGCTCTGCCGTATCCAGCTTCTCGGGCACCCTGGGGAGCGAGTAGAGGATAGCCGGGTCGCCGTAGAGGACTTTCTGGTCGGCGGTGCGGCCAGAAGACAGGGAGGGGTCCATGGTGCTGGGCACCGCGCGCTCGGCAGAGACCAGCTCTGTTGCAGGAGCATATCCGTATTGATACGGAGGGTGTGGGACTAGAGTGCGGACCTGGTAGTTGGCTGGTTGGTATGAGATACCATTGCCAGCGACAAAGTGGTGGAAGCCACCATAGCCCATGTAGTTCGCTTGAATGAATCTGGCCATGATGGCGGTGGACTATCTTTTGTATATCCTGTATCTGGGTGATGACAGTAGAGCGAGTATCTCTGTGCAGCGACTTGAATGGCAGTATTGAATAAGAGAATGTCAATGATTTAACCAGAGTCGAAACTTTTCGAACAGAGAAAGAGTACAGAAACCGAGAAAAATAAAATAGCGAGAGCGACGCGACAAGGGATTAAATATGAAAACCGCTCCAGTAAAACTTTCACTTTCGTGTCGAATCCATGGTATCGTGTTCCGAACGCTTCCAAGGTTGTTCAGGGGCACTGTTAGCGTGCGTGACGATTCCATGTTATGTAGTACCAGCAAACACTTCGCCCATACTTGTTCACATTTGTGTCCTAACCAAGTACCAATAATGATGATTCATTTCAGTGTATAGTGAGCATGATCCCGAGAAGAATTAGAATAGCGATACACCGATTGAGAGCATAGTCTATCGTAATTTCTGGTCGTTCACTTTCGTATCAACAAAAGTCTTCTTTACGGCAGTATCGATGTTTTTGTACGTGGAACGCCAGGATCCATGTCGGCTCTTAAACATCTTGAGCGATGATAGCAACCTTGACGTTGCTAGATGAGGCAAAGCTCTGGTCAAGACATCATCTCATGCTTCGATGTTGGTCAGCGAGGTAAACTAGACCGTTCGCCTGGGTTGCCCAAGAGATCGAAGTGTGGTCTTGCAGATGTAAATATAGGCAGCATAATTCCGTAACAGTTGTCTCCGCATCCATACAGTTCTCATCGTCGAGTACGTGATATGCAGGCAAGGACAGGAAACGGTAGATGCATTGTGACCTTCGTCCCAAATAATATGATAGGCCTAACAAATTTGCTCTCGGTATCGCGCATGACACGTACGTACTGAACAGAGCAAAGCGCCTTTCGTGAAGAGTCTTAAGGAATAATCCCATAATCTGCGCGTCTGTCGTTCCTAGTCGACCAGAGAGTTTTGATACGGGTCAACAAGAATAGGTCCTGATGCACATTTCGACTGTTTCGACCTTACTGACAGATTTTATCAACAGATTTAGGACCAAGATCTTTTGGAGGACTATGTCCTAAATCTAAGGAAATTAAGTACAAAGAAAGGGTCCAAAGGACAGAGCGAACCGTGGAAACGCGCAGAAGCGACGCTGAACAATGTACTCTAGTAGTTCACGACTATCCAACAAAAGTTTCATTTGGTCTTCGACGTGCACTTATCTCAAGGCTCCTGAGTCCTGCCGCATGCAGACAAATCTCTGACCCCAATGTAGCTACTGGGTTTGCGGTGAGATTCGACGCTCTTCTCCATCAACATTCTATCCTTTTGGTAACTAAATCTTCGAATTGAATTATCTTTTCGCCATACTAGCAGTTTCTAAATTCTGCTTTCCAGGATACTAGCCAAGATGACCAGCTCTCAGCTGACCATGCAGGCGGGTAGGGTAGCACAAGAAGTTATTCTGCCTTGTTGATGTGTTTCGAGATCTGAAAAAGGGAAGATCTTGTATATTACTCTCGATGTAGAGGTGATGTCTGCAAATGGCACAGACGCGAAGTCATATCTGGATGATAAATGGAGCTCTAATTAGTCCTGAGATGGTAAGCGTCGATACCGTTGACACCTAGCTTCTAAGGCTGCTTACTATGTATGCAAACCTCGGCTCAGTATGTCTACACATCGTCTTCAACACCATCACGCAAGCTTCACTATAACACACCCGCCAATATGCCCAGATAGCGTCACACTCTCCGGTACTCGAAATGGAGTACATGACCACACTTCAATCCGGCTTCGACGGCCTCAAGCCTTCTCTCTTCGGTATCCATCACATCACAAGCGCATCCGATCACTCACTGACATCCATAAGAACTCCTCTCCGAACAACAGCTGTCCTCCCTCCTCCCTCCGTCACTCCGCTACCTACTTGCGGTGTCCGCCCACCGCCATCCACGCTATCTCCTCCGTATCCTCAACTCCTTCGATGAACTTTACGCGCTCCTCTCCCTCCTCGTCGAGCGCCATTTCCTGCGCACCTATGGCGGTAGTTTCACCGAGAACTTCTACGGCCTGAAACGCGAGCGCGTACTGCAAGTCCGTGGCGGCGAAGTTCCGCGGGCACAACTGGGCGCTGCAAGCGATGTCCGCGCAACCCTGAAACTGCGACGGCAGGATGTGTGGGCAAATCTGGCGATCATGGTCGGTGTACCGTATATCAAAAGAAAGTTAGACGAAGGCTACGATATTCATGCCGCAGGCTCGAACTTGCTCGGGCCAGGCTATCGCGCTGATCGCGATGGCCTCTCACCAAACTCAACATTCAAGCAGAGGATAATGTACTACTATAAATGGTTCCTGCGGCGCGTATATCCCAGCGTGAACGCTGCATACTACTTCGCCCTCCTTGCCTTCAACCTCGCGTATCTCTTCGATGGCGCAAAGTTCCACTCCCCATTTCTCTGGCTGGTGGGCACGCGCGTGCGGCGCCTTGGACAGGCGGATTATGCAGCCATCGAGGCCATCACAAACCCGGCCCCGCAGGCTAAGAGCACAGCGCCGCGCGCAGGGCAAAACAACTCCATCTTCAACCCCCGAACAATGGTCGGTGTCGTATACCCCCGCGTCCTTTCCTCCTTTCGCATCCTCCTCCCCACATCCATCTTCGCACTGAAGTTCCTCGAGTGGTGGCATCAGTCCGATTTCGCACGGCAGCTCTCGCGAAAAGCGGCAGAGGGCATAGAACTACCGCCGCCCGTGACTGCCGGACTATCACGAGGGCTACCGCCGAAGCCCTCGAAGACCTCCGCGAAAGAGGTCCCATCTAGCTCCGACGAGAAGCCCGAAAAGGCTACCACGATACGGACACCCCCAATTGCCGCGTCTTCACTCCTACCTATCCTCACCGTTCCAGCACCATCGAACTCGGCGCTGTGTCCGATATGTACACAGCCGATCACGACGTCAACGGCGTCGCCGTATGGGCATGTGTATTGCTACGTATGCATACATCGGTGGGTGGATGGGACGCATGAGCGACAAGAGGCCTTCATGGAGGGAGGTGCTGGGGAAGAAGGCTGGGAGAAGGAGGAGGGAAGCAGAGAAGGGAGATGGGAGAGTGGGAGGGGGCGAGATGCGATTACCGGTCAGAGAATACTGGGCGGGACGGGCGGTTTGAGAAGAGTGTTAGCATGATAGGCTTGAGACTCAATATGTACCAATGATGTTATGTATAATCACGCCAGTAGCTATAAACATGCTATGCACATACAGACAACTCGATGTCATTCACCGACTATACGACCTCGTCCCCTCGGGATCCAGCGGCGTGCTCTCATCAATGGGCTCCGGATCGTCCGCCGGGTCCCTATGCTCCGCATGCGTCAACTTCTTGTCGTTCCTGTCCCTCCACCAGAAAGCGATCGCGATGCACAATAAGACCCCCTGAAGACACCCCGTCACAAGATACAGACCCCAGGTGCTCCACCCCGCCTTGCCCAAACGCGCATACAGACTCGCGCTCCAAATAAAACTCCCCGGCGTTTGAAGCAACATCATCGGTATACTCAGCGAATAAATGTTCTGCAAGCGCAGCGTCGTGACGATCTGTGGTATATACTGTATGGCTGCAAGGGACGCACCAGCGATGCCCAGGAAGTTAGCCCAGGATTGGAGGGCGGACCGGTGTCCAAACGTGAAGAATAGCGAGAGGATGAAGACGGTCAGGAAGAAGACCATGCTGATAAAGAGCACGCCCAGGGCTTCCTTCCATGCAGAGATCCCGGTAACGCCTGGGGAGTCGGTGGAGGAGCGGGGAAAGAAGAGAAGGAAGAGGAGAAGTCTACACTCAGATCAGCATCGCATATCTTCAATGTAGGAGTGGATGGGAGTGATGTAAGCACGTACATGAGGAAGAAACACGCCCACTGCACGCCCACCTGGAATACCCCTAGCAACGCCGCACCACACGCAAAGTCGCTGATCTTCTTGCAGCACATCATGTCCTCTTGGCTTATGGGCAGCGTGAGGATGTTCGCGATGCCGGCGGTGCCAGATACGGTGCCCAAAAGGACGAAGACGGAGGATATGCCATGGGAGGAGCGGCGCGATATGATCTTGTAGTGTTGCGGGAGGTAAGAGACGATAATGCCGACGAGGAGGAAGCTGTATTTCCTTGTCAGTGGGAAGCTATTAGGGCATGGTCTGTGGGACTGACAGTGAGATGCCAAAGTTGGCCGGGTCTGGGTGGGCGAGCTCGTTGCAGCGGTCCTTAAAGTCAGACATGATGGTCGCCATCATGAGCGCTGTTGTGTGAGAGTTGTAGAGGCTCAGACTACCCCGTCTCAAGCTTCATGGAGATGTTGTCGTCAGGAAGACACCAGCCCAGTTGTTGTACCTGGTGACGTGCGTTCAGGCAGGCACCAGGCCGCAGTGTAGCCTCGGAGTGGCTGGAGACTTGGAGCTTGAGCACGGGCCTTCACTAGCGCAGGAACGACTCCCCTAAACTCTGACCTGTATTAATTAATTCCTCATGTGCACCTTTTCACAAGGTGGTTGACCTCAGCAGTTTCTCGGGAGTTCTTATCTGTGCTGCGAATGATGTTCGAGATGGACTTAGTTAGCGTAAGGCCCGGGACTGCAAAGCTTAAGATAGGACGAATCCTCCTGCGTGCTTACGACCAGTATTACAAATCACATATATGACCTCACTGAACTCTAGCAAAGCTCACAAAGATTGATATCTCGCTAGCTACTCAATCTGTGTAGATCTAGCCTGGGGAGAGGAATCGAGGAGATGATGGCTTCTCTACAGCTTACTGATTCAGAAGCCGAAAAGGCATGCCGTGGCGAGTGTTGGCATGGCGTGCAAGATGCAAGGGAACGTAAACGAATACAAGACAGAATTGCCCAACGAGCACGACGTAAGAGCGAGGACTAGACGAAAGTCTAATGCAGAGCTCACCAGAAGCCTAGGTCAGCGTAAAGCAAGGTTCAAAGCCCTTGCACAACACCAACATCAACAACATCACCAGACGCCCAATACCAGCGAGGTAGAAGGATCAAAAGACGGAGATGACGATCCATTCTGCCACATCATGGACACTCTCCCCCCTCTAGATCCGGCCTTGAACATAGCAACTTACTCTCCATCCGAAGTCGTGAGTTCAAAGCCAGAAGACATGTTTGCCATCGTGCCACCAACCCTCGACCCTTCAGATCAAGTCGCCGCGACCGCACTGCCCGCACACTATGCACTGTTCCTAAACGGCGACATCCTAGGCCTGACCTGCGGCATGTCCGCCCCATCTCGCTCACTTACGCCCATAGAGATAGTACCCGCATCACTCTACCCGTCGATGTTGCAGCTCGTCACGGTCCACAAGCTGTGGATCGATCGGTTCCCGTTTCCTCGGTTCAGAGAAAACATGCTGAATCTCAGCCCTGTGATTGATGATGAGCAGTTTCTCCGTGACCTGTTCGGGCTGGACTCTGGCAAGTCCTTTTGCGTCAGGGAGGGCGGGATGAGCTGGGAGCCAAGAGACTGGTTCATGGGAAAGCAGATGAGCGAGAAATGGGGATGGTTGTTCTACTAAGTGAAACAACAAGGCAGCCATGGGTTCTACTCAGTTATGTTCTCCGCCCTCTCAATATGGAGAACGAACTCTAGCAAGCCACGATTCAAGGCAAGAATCAACCCTTCAGCGGCCTCCACTTTCAAGACCTCAAGAAATTGAAGATTTTACTATAAAATTCGCTGCCATCCACTTCAAATCTCACACCATGTTCGGCTTTTCGACACATACACTGCACGCACCGCTTTCTGACTAGCCACGGCATTCGTCGCCATCGCAGAATCGCCGATCAAGATTTTCCAGCCATCGGCTTATTCATACCCATAAGCCATCCCAACCATAGACACTAAGTCAAGTCTGCAATGCTCAGCTTGCTAGCCAAGAACCCTCCCAGCGAGACGAATAGACTGCGCGTGATATACTTTGCGTATATAAAGCCGTAGAGCACAGGTAAGGGGCATGGAAAGCATCATGCACCAGAGTGCGCGAACGTATCGACGAGTTTGATATGCCCAGGCGACAATGTGACATCACAACTCAAATGATTGAGCATGCCCCGCTGTCACACGACCTCATAGTCTTTATCTAATCGCTCAATTGCTCGAAGTCCAAAGCGGGTTCAATTCGGATGTTGACGCTTAAAATGCATATTAGGACATCTTTCATCATGTATTACTCCCCCTCCTCCGTCCGTTCCCTAAGGAGCACGAGTGGAATGTGATCCACAAGTAGAACGCCAGAAATTCTGTGGAGGAGCACAAACATAATCAGGTATTCTGGATTGTAACAGTGACTTCGTTCATCATACAGTAGGTATGATGCTTCAAGAGTTGGATAGCAATTTCATTGAAAGGGTCAAAGCTAAGTAAACCTAATCAACATCTAGCCTCATGATAGAGACCACCACTCAGCATCCCACAGTACGATCCCAAATCACTTTTCTGGAATCAAGGCAGCAACCAACCGCTTTCTAGCCCAATAAGCCTGCAAAAAGGCTCCATAACTCCACGTCAAATCATGCGCACCTCTCTCAAACCCTGTCACGCGATCAAACTGCTCGCTAAGACTTCCATCTGCATTCGCATGCGTTCGTAAAATGTAAAGGAAGTCGTCTCCGATGCTTTTCAGCCTCTCCATGGCTGTCTTGAAGACTTCCGAGCTTGAATTGTACACTATGCCAGCTTTAAGATCTGGAATAGAACTGGTGTTTGATAAGAGTCCAGACCAAAACGGCAGGCCAAGAGCAGTGACTGGTAAATTATGTTGAGAAAGGAGATGGGAAGCCGTGCGGAACATGACTTCGGCAGCGGACGATGTGCAAAGAAACCAAGGGTTGCCACCGTTTGGCGTCGTACCGTACCCATCGTAGATGTCCTCTGGATAGCGTCCAAGGCCCGCTGCTGCGAATCCAGAGATTGGAACCCGATGTGGTTCATTTATAGGATGGCGGATTGCTTGGTCATGGGTCAAGGCAAGAAGGGATAATAGGACTTCATCAGAATGAGGGGGATAAGGAGACTTCCAAGGCATATCGATCTCGGATTCTCCATGGAGCGATCCTAAGAGAAGGGCACAGTCAAGTCCAGAACGGGCAGTATTCTTGATAGCAATAAGGTGGTTCCGCTCTTCGCTCCAGAACTCGTGGAGAAATGCTGACAGCTTCCTAGCTTGTTTGTCGTACCACTTTGCGGCTCCAAAATCGCCAAACGCAATAGCAATACCGACGCCTTCACGAAGTGCACGGAGCTGGACCATGGCAGTGAAGAAATGCAAGCCGTATACCTCCTCCCATACATCAAAGCCATCGATACTCCAGTAGCGGGACACGTATTCCAAGTCCGCTTTTATCAAGCTATTGGGCGGCATTGATGGGTCATACAATATAGATAGTCGATGCCTATCTGGTTCTGTCCAAGCATCCGGGTGCGTCGCGTTGTAAGCTCGGAGGAAGGCCATGAGAGCCAATGCGCGTAAGGCGGGACCATCGCGTTGCGGTCGACCCCAATTCCTGTTGAAAGGCGAGCCATTCACAAGAAATTTCGGTTCTCCCAGCCCAGCTAGATCGTCAAAGCCGCCCGACGGATTATCAATGTGCTGAATCTTGTATTGAAGGGTAACGAATGCCGATATTATAAGAGACAAGTCGGCTGAAGGGGACTTTGCATACATGTCCACGAGGGTAGACATGGTGATAGAAGCGTCTCGGATCCCTGAGTCTTGTAAGCGAAGTCTCTGTCATGATCGCAGATATCATACGCACACTGAAAGAAGTAGTTGGGATGATCGCGGGACGGACTTGCGATCACAGTCCCCCATGCCGCATTCTGTGCTTCATGCCCTTTGGGCGCGACGTTTGCAAGCAATTTGTCAATGGCGATATGCTCTTGCTCTTCTAGCCAATGGTCGAGTGGGACATCGGTACTGATTGAAATGGCTTGCTGTGCAGTTTTGCCGTACTTCTCAAGCAGATTCCATGGAGGATTCAGCTGGAAGGCGAACGCGTAGAGGACAACGTATGCGATGACGATCGCAGTGAGGAGCATCATAGGGATATAGGATCGAGTATTAGGATTCCAAAAGGCAACGAGAGCTGAAACAAGCAAGCAACAGACCAAAAGATGAGAGAGATTGACAATGAGGTGATGGGTGAGAAGGGGATCTCAACGTCTCGAGTAATGGACTACCTACGGTGGGCGACTGCCAAGGTGGCAGTTTACTCGCATTATATAAGGGGTAAGAGCGACCTTGACCAGCATTAGAAGACTACTGCTTGAAGGAATCATTTCCAAGTGCAAGCGTAGGTGCCAATTCCTCACGAGTGTGGACAGTTCTGCATTAACAAGAGTAACTACAGTGAGCGCGCAACATCGTGACGAGACTATAGTAGAGGAAGTACCGGTGCATGGCTGAGGTATGTAGATTGATTCATCTACGTATACAGCATCAACACTGACTTCAAATAGTCAAAGAAATTCATGCTGGATTCGACTTCTGCCTCTTTACGATAAGAGGTAGTTTTATAGAGTCTCGTCAATCACTCATCTCGTGTTTTAATTTTGATATGGAACATCTTGCCGTCGAAGCTGCTCATATTAGCATGAATCTACCTTGCAGCTGGCAGTGGACAAGACAACTTACAACGACAAAAACGAGTCTTTGAACTTCATGTCCTTGTCCGTGGTATCGTGGACACTGACGCTGAATCTCCGGAAGAGGTTTGCCATGAAGACATACATCTCGCACCACGCCAGGTCCTTTCCTAGACATCCTCGCGAGCCATGGTAGAAACTGACCATGTACTTCTCAAGCTCTCTGGAGGTCTCACCCTGCGTCCAGCGATCAGGGTCGAACTGCTCCGGGTGAGAGAAGACGTCTTTGTGGTTGTTGAGTAGGATAGCGGAAGTTTGCATGATTGTCTGGTGCGGTAAGTACCTACGAAACATCTGGAACTAGGGATACTTACCCCTCCAGGAATCCGGTGACCATATAATTCAAAGCCCTCTGCTGGAACTTGGCGAGGTAGTCTCCCCGGCACTGGAGAAGCCCATCGCAGACTCTCCTGTATAACGGCAGTCTGTTCTTGGTCAGACGAGAACTCAACATGTAAGCCAGACTCACAAGATATGGCAGCTGTTTAGCAACCTTGTAAGTTATTTTAGAGTCACCGGGGAAGGCATGATCAAGTTCCCGCACAAGGCTCTTATAAATGTCGTTGTTGCGGCAGATCTGGTAGATGCCTTGGTACATGACGGTCGAAGAGGTATCGACAGCTGCAGTCATAAGGATGATGACTTCTGACATGAGACTTTCCCCTTGGGGTACCACATGACCTTTGGCAGCGTTCGGATCAATCAACTGCTCGATTATGTCGGACCTCACACGACGTGACTTTGGTTCATTCTTTTCCTTGTGTTCCTCGACCAGAGAAGAATCACGATTACGAAGGTAGTCATCCATGACGGTTCCCACGTCCTGTATGTCTCAGCAGCGATCTCTAATTTGTATCAGTTGCCTTACTTGCGCGAATTTTCGAATGGGAAGAGGAAATATCCACTTCTGTATAGACGGAGGCAGCTTGTACATGGCTCGAGTTGTGGTAGGGGCTACAAATGCCAACCAGGTCTGCTGCAGCACTGCATGGAGGAGGTCGACAAAGTCACTTCGGAAATCGGGATCAAGAACACATTCGTGGTCGGTGGCCAGAAGGAGCCTTGTTGCAATATCGATGATGAAGGCATTGCACAGTTTCAAGACATTGACAGGCGTATCCGAGTGAGCGAATTGCTCCAGTCGACTATTCAAGGACTCCGCCTTGCTCTCAATCCATTTTGCATGCTCAGTCACTCGACTTATCGAGAAGGCGGGCGCCAAAACCTGTCTACGGACGCGGTGCTTCTTTGGGTCTGTCTCGGAGACCACCGAAGGCAGCATTATCAATTGGTAGAAATCAGGATCCTTCAGAAACCCACTGGTGACTTTGGCCATGCGCTGATAGATCTCCGGATCGTTGATGTGGAGCGTGTTTGGGCCCAGGCGGACCACGGGTCCTGCACGTGTGAGTTGTTGAAGACATGACCATTCAACCTCGCACTTACCATAGGTTTGGTGAAACTTCTCAAGCTGCCATACCAGCATACACCTGTTTTCGCCCCAATAGTTATATACGAGCTCAAACCATGCCGGATCAACAATGGCGAGCTTTGGTCCTGGGTAGCGAGATAGAGGGTGTAGGTACAGCCTATACACCCCACGTAAAACCCAGAACAACGAGTATCCAACGCAAGTGCTCAGAGTCAACAAAATCAACCATGTCGAGGTGGGCACGTTCTCGAATACCGATAGTTGGTACCCCATGTTCGTGCTCGGGCTGCTCTCCATCCGAGGGAATAAACAACTCAAGAGGAAAAAGAAGAAGAATTGCACGAACGGCTCAAGATATAGATGAAACTCGCGTGTTTAGTAGACTGGAGATTTGCGGAGATGCTCGTGCCGGCCCGAATTCATAGTGGGCCCAGGCCGGGATGTATGGAATGACTTCGGTCCAGCAACATGATTTTCCACACTAGACGATTCAGGATCGCAATCGAGGTAAATCCTACGAGACTGACGGGTATTCAGGCACGGAATTCGATAGCATAATGTGGTTGATGTCAAACTCATGACAATGCCACTAAACGCCAGTATATTGTCCGCAACTGAAGCCCACGTTTGTCTTTATATCCCTGCCCCGAGCAAGTAGCTAAACAAACATGTCGTAGAGTACCTGTATGTCCTCCAGTACCATAGGAAACAACCTGAAACTTGCAGGAGCCTCTCCCTTATCCATCCATCAACGAAGGATGCTAAATTATGAGCAGTTGGAAGTACATCCAATCAAACCACACTCAAGTGCCGAGAACCCAAGCTATACCCTGGCGAGAAGGTGACGAGTAGACAAGCACGGATTGGACATTACGCCCCAGTTTACTCCATCAACACCCTTGATGCTATATAGGGTATTAGTGCACTGTGCACACGTGCGAGACCCTTAGTCCCAAGCGAGTCATCATCGGGCCGATTCACATCTTCTATAGATAGCCTTCGTTTCGCCTGATCGATGCTTGTAAGGGACTAACGAACTAATCCGGATGAACGATCTAGCGAACACGAATTTGTCACTCGTGCGGATCACGCCACCACTGATGCAAGGAGACGTTCTCGAACGATTGATTGCAGTCGGCATATGTGACGTACACGGTATATGCATGGAAGGACAGTAGCTTCCATGTTTGGAACCGTGCATATACAGTGAGGGGACACCTTCGCGGCCTGAAATATGCCTGTCCCAGACTCTAGGACTGTATCACAGCACGCAGGACAACGGATACTCAATTGGGTGGCATGAGGAGTTAGTGGACATCTATCTACTGGCGAAAAGGTCACCCGTAGAATCTATATATCCTGCTCAGGAGACTACCTATTTAGGCTTGGAATTTACTTTGATAGGTGAACTGTGTATATCTAATTATTCAGGAGGACGCTGCAGTCTCGCTGCGCTAACGACTACTACCCTGCCTTATATACACATACATACACATTTACTACACAAAATCTCGGACACCCCTCCGCCAAACCCAACGAATTCACAAGGCATCCATCACTCTACTCTAACCCGACAAACCCAACCTCCCTTACCCGGCAGACCTGACCTTACCCAAACAGGCAGTCACACAACACATAAATCCACTCCCTCCTAACATACTCCACCACAACCCCAAAAGTACGAAAAGGTCGACGATTGCGTCCCTCCGCCCGCAGTGCAAAGGAAGCCAATATCTCATGCCTCCATCCCCCCCTCAGCCAGAAGACCATATTGTACAATGTCTGCCTGTCGCTGATAGAATCGTACGCAGCAATGCGCGTCTGTGCGCTTTGGATCGTGAGTATCATCACCATCAAACGCCCACACTGAAGAGACTCATCACGGCCAAACTCATGCTGAAGACCTTCACCAAGCATATTAGCTAGTATGTGTCGTCAGCACACTCCATGCCTAGCAGGTACGCTGGCAAAGCATGAGACATGAAAGAAGAGTTGAGGAGAGGAGAGGGGAAGGCGAGCAGGGGCATGGGGAGGGCGTTTTTCCGGGAGCCAGGGCGCACGGAATGGCTTTCCATCCACTGTGGTTTGTGTGGAACTATGGCTTGAGGGGGATTGGTGAGGGGAGGGGGAGGAGGAGGTTGGGGATGTATTTATAGTATTTGGGGATGCTGGGGTGGGTGGTGTGTAGAGTAGTGCGTACTAAGGGGTGGAGGGTTGGTGGTGGCGAGGTGAGATATGTGAATGCATATACTGTGCGTGTATTCATAGAGGAGAGGCGGAGATGCTGGCTTTGTGAATGACCCTGCATAGGGCAGACTCTGAATAATATGCCGGGTCGATCCCTCTCTCGCTCCCTACCTCCATCCCAATCATCAACCCCCCCAAACAGCATATAAACACACTCCTTCCACACACCTCTACCCTCCCTCACTAAACCCCCATCTCTTCCAAATGCATCTCATCAAACATGACATGCCCGCGTCGGTGCTGGAGTGCGATCAACAACCGAGGAATGCGTCGCCTGTGTATACTACGAAACCAGATGATGACGAAGCTACTGACGATGATGACGACACGTATCATCCTCCGACCATACACAGGCAGAACAGCGCATAGAAGGATGTAAATCTCCCTCGTTACATGGTGGTGGTGTACATCATCATCACCACAACGCAGCACCGGAACAACCCAAAGCACCCCAGCTACCATATCAGACTCAACGAGTCCACAGCACCGCAACACCAGGAACAACATCGTACATCACCCTCGCTTGGTGCAGGGACATGTGACATTTCATGCAATAGGCGAGCCAACGCATGTAGGCGTTGCCTAGACTTTGAGGGCTGCTGGATGGAGGATCAGTATTGTGTTTGAGAGGGAGGAGGAAGGAGTATTTATATGTGTGGGTACGTATGGGAGGTAAGATGTTCTTGGGCGGGATGGGGCTTTGTCGGGTAGGGATGCGGTTGCTGGGTATATAGACATACACGGATACAGGAGTAGTGGTATCTTACCCGGCGTTCGCGTGGACACGTGCGTGCTTGTGATGTAGGAGTAAGCTGGGTAGTAGATGTATGGATGGGTGAATGGATGAGTGTGTCTGCGCATTGTATCGCGGCGGATGTACCGTGTACGTGGACATTGTATATCTACCTAACTAAATGTTCTTCTACTTTCCTCCTCTCTTCTTCTCACATCCTCACATCCTTACATCTTGCCCTGGTTGCTGTTTTCAACTTCGATGAGAATAGCGACGTGCATTACCATGAGCATGGGGATGTGCGGTCGAGCACCATGAACATTTCGGGAACATGAGCGTGCACCTAGCTCACAGTCAAGATCATGCTGGGGTGGTTGGGACCCCTGCGGTGGATGTACGACGTGCATGCATGATCTGGTTGGGCAGTGGATTGGATGGTCTTGCGGAATGGTAGTGTAGAGGGACGGTGATGGTCATGCTGGTCGTTGTGTGATGATGATGTTCATGCATATCTGTACAGATGACGATCAGCAGCACGCCATGACAATACTCACCACCAGCACTTCCTCACAATATCTCCCAGACAACGAATCATTCCAGGCATCGAGCAGACCGCGAAACCATCATCCCCGACATGCCACGACGTACCATGTTTCCAGCCGCACACAGGCACAGGCCCAGGCACAGGCACAGCAATGGCATGAGAAGAACAATCGCGTGCACGCACATGGGTATATACTTCCATTACCCGTGCTCTAGTGTCGAAGCGAACCAAAGATGATAGTGAGACAGAAGGGAGAATGAGAGAAGATAGAAGGGAAGACTTTAAGAACGGTCATAGACACACGCTCGCGTCTGAAGCGCCGGGTAGGTGGATGACGGAGGCTACGGCGCGTCCATGGATGGATGGTATACGCGTGATTCAGCTATGTGAATGACGACGCGCTGAACATACCCGGCACAGCGCTACCCGTATCAAGGCAGTATCGACTGCACTTCTTGACACCAATCTTACCTTACTCTACAAAGTATCCATGATCATGGCCCTTGGCAGTAGCCCACTGTCACTGATCCACTACATGGATTGTGTGTGTTTTCTGCGTCTACCCCTATGACTAGTCACATGGTTCTCCTGACATGGCCCTGTGTCACTGCGGGTGATACATTGTTGTGGTGATGGATGCCTTTCTTACGTTTGCATGTTAATGTGTATCACCGAGGCTGGAGATACATGTCGGGACTAATGAGCTGTGTGAGGTTGGGTGCGTGGCACCTCGACTGACAGGCTGTGTGGTTCGTATCTGATGGAGATGAGATTGAGGAAGACAAGGCTTGACTCAGAAGTGCATCGACGATAGGATATTGACAGGCGCATTCGACCATAGAACCAACTCTTCTACCCCTATGCTGCATCAAGTCTAGTGATTGACTCAAGCATATAGAAGTCTAGAGGTTGGTTGTGGATACTGGTGGACCGGGCCGATGATCTGGACAAGAGTACCATTAATCCACGACCAAAGTGCTTATTTTGACGTCAAGGTCTCCACTTGAGGCGTTGACTAGACGATGGCGCTGCTCGATCAATGGCGACGATATGCAACCTCGCCAGCCACCACAGCGATCTTGATATATGGAAGTGGACTCGGGCAAAGGGCTTGTATCTATGCTGCAACAATGGCCATCGATCTCCGATGCTGATCATATGCGTAGGTGAGGCCAAGCTGCTCGGATGGCTCCGTAGGGCTATCATCCGAAGCTGCCAAGCTGATGGTCGTTTCAAGGCTGTGATTGGTACTGTGACTACAACTTGCTTACTTGTCGAACGGTGAGATTGCCAAATCGATGGCGATATCAGGTTTCGCACGAAGTGGTATAGAAGCAGAGTAAATTGAGTCGAGTGGCTTGACAACGTATAGGTGGCTGTTGTCCGTTCTTGGCCTCTTAGTCTCCGACCTAGTGGCTTGGATGATGGCATTGATATTTATCCATTGGACAGATGAGCTCATAGTGCAGTGCATTCTTGAGTTGTGCAGGTGTAAAGGAGTAGCTGAGCGACATTTGCATTCTTGAAGATTGTGGAGGGGGAAGGTATCGTGCGTTGCGGGCATGAACCCCCCTTGTTGTTGATCGTCGAAGTTTTTTTTTTGGCCAAGCAGGACTTGATAAAGTAGGTATGCAGTGCTGTGAGTGGATCTCTGGTCGTCTATTGTGCCACGACGATTCTCTGTATTACACCTATGGCGTTCACGTTGTTGCGTGACTTTTGTGGTGCTACAAATCAAATCTAGCTCCGATAAGCCTCTTGTAGATGCAAGTCTTCCAAGGAGACTGCCTACACGGCGTGACTGGTCACCGGCAATGGATTGCAGTGCGATCACAGGCCCAGGGATGTACTCGGTATCATGATTGTTGGTCGGATGTTTGACGACACATGGTGACCTGGCCGTGACCTCGGATGCGAATGGAAGGAAGTCTAAGAAAAGACAGCATGGTAACATAAAGAGCGCAATCGGGATTTGTACACATCGATCTGACTTGAGCATGCATCGGAACATCGTGCATGTGGAGACGCAATTCTTGCACCCCAGATCCGTCCGAAACAATGGACGTTGGCCTGGGAAAGAGGAGGCGAAAGGATTCGAGCGACGGCTCTATGTCAGGCTCTGGCTTGGCCGCACATTAAGCTGTCAGGGCTGTCATGGTCAAGATGAGAAAAGCATAGTGCAGCCCACGAATCGGACCCTTAGAGAGACGTCACTGCCCCAGGTGATCTGTGCGCGAGATGCAGTGCAGCGTCATTTGGCGAACAAGTGGCTATTTTGGACACTATAGAATATCGAAGGAAGAGTTCTAGAAGGTCAAGGCTTGAGAGGTGGACGAGCATCCCCTGGCAGTGAGATTTGCAGCGCATGTTGTAAAAGTGCACGGTCACAGTGAGGAAGACGGCGGAACACAGTGCTTTGGCGTCCAGAGCCAGGATGGTTGACAACATCAGCAGCAGTTATCAACATCAAACAAACGCAAAGATGGAGTCCGAAGCTTGAGGGAAGTGGTCGGAGAAGGGTGATGCGGGAAAAGAACGGGGCGCACCGCATCCCGTCTTGGCTGGAGCTGACTGAGGTTGGATGATGTGGTCCTGCGGAGCTAAAGTGCCAGTGTTGTAGGTGTGCTTTGTCTTGCTTGTCCATGACGACGACGTCAAAGGCTGAGGATGAGGTTTGGGTTGGTACAGGATGATGACATGCAGTCGTTCTGGCGTTTGCAGAAAATGGACAACGTCTGACGGAACTGACAGAGCTTCCACTGGACGGAATGAGACCAAGGCGAAAGATGAGGACGATGGTGTCTCTCGCAGTCAGGCCTCACCTCAGCCAAAGCGTGGCATGGTATGGCATGGTGAGGCGCGGAGAATGACGGAAAAGGTAATCGGGTAACGGATGGAGGGAGTTGGCGGAACTGTAGTGAGTAGGTCTGGTGCGGATCTGATAAGCAGCAGCGGAATATACGAGTAACGAGGTGACGGCCAAATCACAGGCCGGAGTTTGGGCTTAGCAACAAGATGCATAGCAAATCACTCCAACGGAACAGATGGCGCCGGCGCTCCAAGCAGTCGGGGCGTGCGGGTGCTGGAGATGCAGAGTTTATGTGTGGGATGCTTGCAAGTGTTGCGTGCAGCGTGCGTGCGCGTGTGCGTGTGCATGTGTATGCATAACAAGAGATGGAGGGCGATAGGTAGATGGGCGGCAGTAAGATATCAGCTGAGGGAGGGTAGCAGTAATAGGGATACTATTACTGCCAGTGCTTCTGTGCTCTAATTATATAGTATACACCGCATGCACGTCCTAACCTGTGACCTTTGTCGAGATAATAATAGTTGGCAGAAGGTCAGTCAGCCGCGAGTTTCGACGATGTCTCTCTTCCATCTGGATATCTAGACAGCTGGTCATTTTAATTAATTACAGTATCAGTATCTAGAACATCTGTATATCTATTAGTAAGCGGGCTGTACCGCTGTTTGCCGTCCATCATACTATCCCCCACACTGGGCATGACTCGGGGTAGATGGATGAAGAATACGCATACGTGATATAGAATACGCAGGATAAGTGGCGCCCTTGTGACAAGAACACACCACAAGCCACCAAGGATAGGCGGCTTCTGAATGGCTGCAGGGCCCGTACTCTCCCCGTGCATCGAGTCAGACATTCCAGAGCCTCATTTGCTCCACTTGGGTAACTTGATTGACATGCCGCCGCCATGTTCAGTAGCCTTCTATGGCTAAACTGGTGCTCGTCTCTCATTACCAGTAGACATATCGCTCCAGTCAGAATGAAAAGAGTTGTTGCCATCGCGGGCCACGTGTTGTTGTGTGCGCTGTGACGAGCGTTTAGGGCTGCCGGATGTGTCGCTGTACATCGTAGCACGCTTCTTCTTCCTCATTCCGCTCCTCTCCACCACCACCTGATACCCCCTGTACCCCCCCCCCCCCTCCCTTTCTCCGACATGGATCCCCCTCCCCCCCCCCTCACCCCTAGTATTGACTCGTCGTTGTCACTCTATCAACATCCATATCACTACTTGACTCCACTCAAGAACATCACAATCATCCATACAACTCCTCCTCTGCCTTTCCTGCAACCCCTCCTTGTCCCCACGTCCCTATCGCCAAGCCTACGCAAACTGGCTATCTCGCACTCTGGCCAAGTCCCCGAACACTGACCCACTACCAAAAAGCATCCCGATCACTCACCCCACTCTGCTCAGACGCCTGCTGCCCTCTCTCCTCTATAATAACCACTGCTCGCCGTGCCACCACTTGCTCCGACCACAGCTACTTCTGCTTATACACCTAACCCTCACTCAACTCAACTCATCCCAGACCCGTCCAAATATATCACTGATCCAGCTCGAGTCTTCTCCTCGGCCATCCTCTTATCCTCGTCTTCTTCGACGGCCGCAGTGCCTTCCCACCAATTATTGATGTCGGTTGATTTGCGTCAAGCTCGCACCTCTCTTCGCTTTCCCTCTCGAGTACAGACTGTCTCGAGAGCCCAGATCTCCAAGGTCCATACAGGAGATATCACTAGGCCCGCTAAACGAACGTAAACAGCAGACGTACCGTATGTTGTCATGTAGCCTTGCACTACGAGACTGCAGATACTGATAGTGACGGACAGAATATAGATCAAGCACTACCTCTACCCCCATCCACCATCACGAAACTGACTAGTCCGTGTCTTACATCGGATTCACTTAAACAGTCGCTCTCGAGTCGAGCACCACTACCACCATCATGGAGAAGTTTGCCGCTACAGCAATCACCCTTGTCAGCTCACAATGCTCTGTCGCCCAGCAAATGCAATTCGCCTGTAGTCAGGCCAAGCATGACCTTGACCTCGCCAGAGCCGCTGCTGCAAGAGGTATGCCGACCGCAACCTTTGGCAAAAAGAACGACATCCGCATCGTAGGCATCCATGAATACAAGGAAGCTGCTCTGAGTCTTGCCGAGGCCTTTGAGGTCGATGAGCTGTCGCGGTACTTTATTGATGTGCCAGACCGTGAGCATGCAACAGAGCAAGAGAAGTGGGAGCTCCACCTCTCCATCTTCGAGTACATTGTGTATGCCCACTGTCTGAAAGGTTTGGTCACCACGACGGGTCCAGGTTATGCTGCCGTCGCGCTATGGTACGTTGTCTAACAAACTGCGAGCGCGCTCATCACGGTCCATACAGGTTCTCCGAAACGTAGAGATGCACCCGATCTTGAGTTTCAGGTGAGCGCGCCACGACCACTCTGCTAAATCACTACCAGGCTGCCTCCAGGCGATCATATCGATGACTGGGCCACCATGCTGCGCAGCGGCATGTGGCGTCTCCGATACAAGTTGTCTGCCGAGGCCCGGAAGCGCTTCTTCGACGAGTTTCTGCCGCTGCTGCACGACACCAAGGTCGGTGTGCTCGGTGCTCTCGACGAGAGCTCGTGGTACCTGGTCTACGTCGGCACTCGGCCCTCTGGGCGCGGCAAGGGGTATGCGAAGAAGCTGATTGAGCAAATCTCGTCTCTCTGCGATGAAGAAGGCCGTGCCATCTACTTGGAGAGCTCGAATGCGATCAACCCAGCCATCTACCGCAAGATGGGGTTTGAGGATCGCAAGCGAGTGTACATGCAGAGGATCTTGGACCGCAACGTCGAGCTAGACATTATGGTGAGAATGCCCAAGGCGGCCGATGAGAAGGTCATCATTCGTGAGAAGCTTCCGGCTGCGTCGGTGAAGATCCATCGTCTGCAGGTTTAGACGCCACCACAGTGGTGAACAGCACCGGTAAGGTATGTGCACGGAGAGTGAGACTGTGAAGGCGGCGTGCGTTGTTTGACTTTGTTCTTGTTTTTTCGGGCCCGACTCCATTCACTCCTTGCTTGCTTACGATGACGAACCTGTTCGGCTAGCTATTTGGAACACTCCTCTCTTTTGAAAATGACATGCGAATTCTTTGGCTTGGGACAGTGGCTGCAAATGTTCTGCAGATCGAATGACGTGATGCCATGTGTTTGCCGTTGTGTCGTTTCGTGGCTGAGCTGCTGGTGTTTTAGGCATCCGGGCCCAGCTTTCCCAGCCCAGTCCTCCAATTCCAACATCAACACGCACGGGAGTCTTGAGCCATGGCATTGTACCTTTAATGAGGCTGGGCAACACAGACACTGTGTCTCAATGTTGCCATGCACATCCGCAGATCAACTGACCCCGCCTCCGCGCGACAAACGCATCTCCCTGCCCAGCCTACGATATAAACTCAGGGACCGCAAATCACTTTTTCCCGACACGCGACTTGATAAATCGCGCGCTCGCCGTACATAAACCACATTTCCTGCCGACGCATCCTCTTTCCTCTACGTTCTCGACACTATATTTCAGCACCCAGAGGCAGCTTACGAACATGTCACAGGTCGCTGTATGCCTCGGCGGTCTGCGACTGTGCAAGATTTCCGAACCACGCCGTCCGCAAGCACGCGTCCCCGGCCTCAAAGACGACCACGACCACCCTTTCCGTCGAGACCTCGCCGAAAGGTCAGAGCTGCAGCTGAGACCGACTACGACACCACCGCCTGACCACAACGAAGACGACGTGCTCGAGCACGACACGCGGTCACTGCCGCCGAACAGCCCTGCTGCGCGTCTTGCATCTCCACCTGTAAAGTGGGAAGTACATAGCGGCGGCGGCGGCGTGGACGAGAGGGCGTGGCGTACACCACAGGCAGCGCTGTGTTCTGAGATACCGACAGATCCGGCTGTCCAGCGGGCAGCAGCGTCAACAGCTCCTCAGCTCACGACGATAGCCCGGAAATCCGCATACGGAACGCCGCATCCGGACCCTCACCAGAGCATATTCGGCGGCGAAGCACGACCAGATCCAAACGCACTCCCACCACCACCATCAAACCCCACCTCTACAACACCACACAGCCCACACCCCATGCCCCCTAACCCCTCCCCCTTCCTCGCCCTCCCCCCCGAACTCCGCGCCGCAATCTACACCCACCTCCCCACCCCGCTCATCCACCCCACCCCCCTAATCTACTGCCTCTCCACCACCCACCCCACAAAGTCCCACCCGCTCACCACCCTCAACCGCGCCCTCCGCGCCGAAGCCCTCGCCATCTACTACAGCCAAAACACATGGCTCATCAAGCTCGAGGACGCAGCGTTCTATGACGCGTTCCGCGCCTGGATCGCGGGCGTGGGACGAGCGGTGGGGTATCTGAGGCGGGTGCGGGTTTGTGTGCGAGCGGGGGTAGTAGGGAGGTGTAAGGAGGTAGTGAGACAGCGGAGTTTGCCTTCTGTTGCGGCTTCGCTGCCGGTGTATTATCATCGGATGCCGGAGGAGGAGGAGGGCGAGGCGATGCTGGAGATTGATCTTAGTGAGCGGGGGGATGGGCCTGTGGTTCGTGTGCTGCGGTGTGATGCTGGGGGGTGTGGCTGTGGTGGTGGTGGAGGCGGGGGCTGTGGGCGCGAGGTTGTGTGTGGGGTTGTGCGGGAGGCGGCGGTGCGGCTTTGGGATGTTAAGCATGGGCGCGAGGGTGTGCGGGTGGGTGATTGGGAGGAGTTTGTGGATGGGGTTTTGGGGAGGTTGGGGAC